GGGGGGGCAGGGGAAGGGGGGGGATCACAGTATCTAAACAATGACAATGGGATTGTCCTCAAGTCCCTGTATGAGGGATCATACAGCTCCTCAGCGCCGGACGACCGGGGGAAGGGCGGCGGCAGCGGGGGACGCTTGCGTGACGGAGGATGGGGTGGAGGAGGACCGCCACGGTGAGCCTCATCCTTGTCCAGGCTGGAGTCATCCTCCTGCGCATCATTTCCATTTCGTACGGAGCATCTAGCTCCGTAATGACCGCGCCAATTGCAATTCCCACATGCCCCCCAAACTGCCCTGGTAGCCGAATGCACTTAGGAAGGGGGCGAGGACCATCAGACCTGCGTCGACAAGCGACACAGACCTGAGGCCTCACCACCATTCCTCGGGACTGGGTGAGGATGCTGCTGATGTACGATGGCCCGCTGGCTCCGCACCTGGGCTTCTGTCGTACTCCCACGTACGATCAGTACATCCCGCCCTGGAATGGCAAGGATGGCCTGACTCTGAGAGCTGAAGGCAAGAGGAGCGAGCTGCTGGCTCGCAACATAGATAGTCTGATGTTGCGGCAGAGCAACATTGTTTCCGCTCAAAGCCCTGTCGTACGGAGGTCAGCTCTCAGTTCAGCAAGAAGGCAGTGAACTTGTATTCTTGACTTGGTAAACTGCTTCCGTACAACGCCGTTAGCCAGTTGCTCTGTCAGTGGAGGGGCTGGGTACTTAGCCTGCGTGTGTTTGTACGTACATTTTATTGTGTGTGGGTGAGAGAGAGCGAGAGCAGGATGCAGAGCTTTGCTTATAAGGCTTCTGCAACAGCCACCAGCCACCCAGTCAGTCTTCCTACGCCTCCGTTGTTGAAAAGTTTTACAAGGCAGGCAGAAGAGGGGGAAACAGATGAGCTTACTGGATACACGATGTCCTGTAGGGCGGCATACGCAGTCAGTGAGCAGCTCTTCTTCCACCCTCCCCACCATCACCTCCTTCGTGTACGAGCGCGTTAGAAAGCGTCTCCACCAAGAAGACTGCTCTCTGGCACCTGTACACAATGCATACAGCTTATCCACGATGTCTCAGCACTGTACGAAGGCGTTACTCATTGAGAAACACTGGTTTGTGGGACGGAGCGGAGAAGAGGAAGAGAGGAATAGAGGCAAGGGCAGGAAGGGATTTTATCACTCTGTGCTGCGTGCAGTCATGCGTACGGACTAGTTCCAAAGAAGAAGGGTAAGAGCATTCAGCATTCGCCTCTATACTCTCTATAGCACTCCATACACAACATTCTATAGAAACACAACTCATATAGCTCGGTACGCCATGCTGGAAAGACAGAGAAAGCACAGCAATCTCCCTCCACCCTCTCAAGAGAGGGCCAGGTCTGGGTTTTTCTTCAGGGCCATGACGAGAGCAGGAAGAGTGAGCCTCTGCTGTGTACGAACTTCATCAAGCTCCTGGGCCGCCCAGAGAGTTCCACTGTTCGCCTGATTCCTTCATGTGAAAAGCATCAATGATTGGCTTCCGGCGGCCGTATGCCATCTGCTCCTCGGCAGAGCGACGCCAGGCAGCGCGATACCTCTCATTCAGCTCTCATATGACAGGCCCATGATTCAAACCCACAGACCATTCCCTCCACACCTCCACCACTGTGGTGGCCTTGCGATTAATTTCATATGCAGGCACCACATCACAAACAGCAGAAACAAAACCAGCAGAAGCAGAGGAACTAGCAATCGTACGACCAGTGGCCAGGAGGGGGCAAACGCAGAAGGTACAGGTGCAGGGCGTGAGTGCAGGGTTGGTGGCGGGGGCAGGGGCAGAAGCAGGGGCAAAGGCGGACGTGGATGCAGGCACAGGCGCAGGAGCGGGCGCAGGAGCGGGCGCAGGTGTGGGTGCGTTCACAAGTGCGAAACCAGAAGCAGAAGCAGAGGCAGCGGCAAGAACAGACAAAAAAGCAGAGGCGGCATCTGTACGATCAACACGAGCACCATCTCTGGCGGCTTCAGCAGCGGCAGCACCAGCATTGATTGCAGCAGTGACTATATTGAAAGTGCTGGACAAATTCTTCGCAACTGTATCATTCTGCTCCATCATCAGATTTGTACGGGGAACAGCCCTGGCTTCAATTGCTCTTGCCTCAGTGACAATCTGCTAATGTTGTGTCGGCAGCAGAGTCATAAGAGCAGGCCGCACACCAGAACACCTGAACCTCCATGGGCTCCTCCTGGTCGTTCGTGCAGGCGGTGCGTATGATGTCTGCAAAGGCCTGGTACTTCTCCCCCCCCAAAACAGCGGATCATTCCAGAGGGGGTGGTCAGAAAATTGGTCTCAGAACAGGATGGAATCCTGAAGGATTACCACTTAAAGCTTGTGGGGAACCCCTGCACAGCCATGTCATTCTGATCCACACATACAGACACTGACAGCAGCAATGATGACTTGTTCATGATGTCATATGACTCAAACCCAGCTCAGTCACTCATTCACTCATGATCACAGCTTTTGCACCAGAGTCCTCAGCGGCTACAGCACTCATGGAAGATGAGAACCCAGCCCTCTCTCATACACACTTCAGAGAGATGTGAGGCAGGTAACAGTTGAAGAGAGCATCATTGTCTTATCATCTTAGCTGATGAATCTGAGCCTCACTCAACCCCCCTGGCTCGGCTGTCATTGTCTTGAACTTTCATTTGAAGTGAGTTTTCTTTAGTGAGCTGAGCTTTACAGCATCAAACATCTTGTTCATCCACCTCAGACAGATCTTGTACCTCATCTCACACTTGACATCAGCTTTTTTGAGAAGATGAAGGTTGTATCAGATCTGACAGTGCTGAAATTTGACACTGACTTCTGTATAAAGTTTCCGCGGGCAAGGAGATAAGAGACCAGGGTGGACATTGGGCCCTGCAGGGGATCCTAATGCTATATGACATTGCCATATTCAATTTGATCAAAGTCATTGATTTTATCATGATTCATAATGAGAATCAGGGCATTGCAGGCAGGGGAACCCTCATTCTTGAAGGGAACAGTGAACAGAACTATCAGCTGAATAAATCTCTGATTATCTGAATGAGGTTGCATGGGAGCAAGGGAGAGGTTGCAGGCACCCAACTTTTGCGTTTTACATAGGTCTTTATAGGGTGTAGACAAATGCTCAATCTGATTGGCTGAGAGTCGTGCTTATACTGACCTTTCCTAGCTAGGTTAGATCACTAACTAGCTGCTAAACCATATCCTCGCTGCCCGACTGGCCCACCGTTTACCACAAGCGCACCCTAATACACAGCAGCCGTAGTCCATATGTAGAACCAAACCTAGCCTTTTATTTTTGAAAACTTCCCGCTTTAATTCCTCTGCTTATGGTTAGCGACTGTCTGGAAATCTGCCAACCACTTCAATTGGCTGGATATCAAGTGATGATGATGATGATGATGATGATGATGGGGTTGGCCTTCGTGGCAGCGCTTCAAAGACAGCGGCGCGGGTGGGGGAAACTTTAGACCGATTGCAAAGAGGTAAACGCAATATGAGGGTTAGTGTGATCGAGTAGATGTATATATGGTTGCTCTTAAATTATTCTAGGTCAAAGCGGCAAAGATACATATATAGAAAACTGGGTAAACAGGGATGAAATGTATCATATCCTATTCATTCGCTAAAGGTTGATAGATAGAGGGGGGGAAGGCGGACCAGAATACAGTAAAATAGAATGAGAAATATATGGATATCTTTGGTGAAAAGAAAATCAAGATTGGGGTTGAAGAAAAAGGACAAGAGGAGGAAAATTTTTACACGGAAATTGCTATTCAGGGATTCGCAAATACAACTTGTCACAATCGCACTCCTTTCCCCCCGCCAAAAAAATATGCAAAAATGGCAGGGTTGGTCTTTTTCGGTCTTCGTAACTCTTGCTAGCATCAAAGGGAAAGGAAAAAGAAAGGAGTGAAGTCAAAAAGACGCTGGAAAACAAGCTGAAGAGAAGAATCCCATGATCCGGGGGAACCAAGATTTAAGTACGATCCCTTCATTTGAATTTCTAGGAGCCCGCACATCCCCGGACGACCCTACTTAGAATATCCCTCCTAATATCTCCGCTTTTCGCATACCTAGACTAGAGCTACTGCTTCTCCTCCTTTGGCTGCGGTATACGTTGGGGTCCGCCGGGCTTAGTCCGCTTGCACGGGCATACAGGTTGAGGATATCAGTTAGGCTCACAACGCCGACGAGATGGCCTGACATCCTGGCGCCGGAAAGTGAGGAGGCTGGGATCGCCGTTGATATCGAGGGCAGGTATGGGCTGTGTTGGGAGCCACAGGCATGAGGCTGAGCAAAGTGAGAGGTTGGTGGAGGGGAGATGGCATTCGCATTATTATTATTATTATTATTATTATTATTGTTATTGTTATTATCACTGCTTGGTGATACTGGTGTAATGTTGGGCTGGGGGATAGATGTGGACAAGTTGGGTGCCTGGAGCTGCGCGGTGATGTTGGATTGGTTGCTCAAGGAAGGAATGTGAATGGATGTGTGAGATGGCGTCGGGGGGGTTGATGATGAGGATGACGGGGACTGGGGATCAGTCACCCACATTCTATTACTTTATTAGCAATCTGCTTTTCAGAATACGGAGAATATTTTAAGGGTAAGTAAGGGACATACCGGTGGGATTTAGTCGCGACAAGTTTCGCAACTGTGTGTGCTAGGGTGGATTGTGGGTGAACATGGAAGACTGGAAATGAGTCTTTACCCTCGTGCAAACCGCGGGTAGACAGAATGACGGATATGAAATGTATACATGTGTCACGTAGGAGAGGGAGGGATGTTGATTTTGTTAATAGCTAGATCCGGGTTAGCCCGAGTCCGAAGTCCAAACTCAGGAAGAAGCTTATCGAACGTTACCTTCACATCAACAACAGATATGTTGCCCACGACGTTCTGTTGATTATCAACGACTGCAATAGATGAGATCCCTTCGCTGTTCATCAATTCCAAAGCCTTGGAGAGTGGTTTGTCTCCGCTGCAGAGAGTTGTTAGCGGATATGCATCATAGTGGAACTGGTAACGTAAACAACTGAAAATAGAGCAGGAGAGAATAACCAACACATACTTGATTGATATTACTTGCTGCGAGCCTATCCTCAGATCAGACAAATACCGAGGATAAAGCTGATCAATTACCGGAAAACTCTGTCCATTTTCCCACAGGAATTTGACTAGGCGCCACTGACTGAATATACCAACAACCTCGTTACTATTCTCTTCCACCATGATTATCCGATGGACGCCACCACCAAACGTTTCAACAGCTTTCATCAAATTGGCACTGGGAGGGAGAGTTGTGATGGGTTTGTTCAGCCCCAGATTTTTCACCTCCCTGAGAGGGATCTGTTTGTCTTCTCTAGCTTTCCTCTCTAGTTCCCTCAGCGACGCGACATGTTCCTCGTCTGGCTGCACCAACCCCACCACAAGAAGTAGATATGCATTGAGGTCTGCATAATCAAATGTACTTATGGCAGTTCGATCCTCAGCCTTTTCTCGAATCAAGAGAACAGCAGCGCCAGAGTCAATCAGAAGCTAAATTTACAGAAGGTAAAAAACCCAAATTTTCAATATTAGTGCCGTTCACCGAAATCATCACAATTTTCTTTTTCTTTTTTCTTTCAGTTCATTGACAGGAATTCAGCCATACATTAGTAGCTTCTTCAATACCTGTATCCATCTCTACAAACTGAAGTTCCGAGGGGCTAACTAGCTCTCCAATCGAGATCTGTGTCCAATCACGGCCCGAGAACGCTGGATCTGCCGCATTTCCGGACGGGGGATTGTCTATGAGGCTCTGAACGGCTGATTGCGTCAGAGATGGCTGTCGACGTGATCGGGGGGATCCTGGAACAGCACGTAGAGAATCACTGAAGCTCTGGCGGGGTTGAGTCGAGGGAGCTGATCCTAACCGGAATGAGAGGTTGCGAGCCGGAGGAGAGCGTGACTCTGTGCTGGAGAGAGAAGCAGGACCAGGGGAGTGTCTGGAAGGATCAGAAGGTGAGGGGCTGCAACGGTCCGCCATGTTTGGTAGCTAATATCTGCAGAGGTGCTATTCTGATAGAAAGAAGACTTTTTATATGAGATATCCGACAAAAACAGTCAAGGAAAGTTTTTCTAGAAGAGCAGAAACGTTCACACAATCAGCATCTAATCCTAGAGAAATAGAGAATAGAAGTTAGCTGGCGTAATCCAGCAACATTGGAGAGAGAAGAGAGGGGCGGGGGATAATGGAATGAGGGACACACCATGCATATGCTTGGCAAGGTTGTTCGTCCGTTGAGGTCGACTTACATAAACTCTATTACCAAGGTTTAGCCAGCAGCCATAGGGTTCAAAATGCTTACCCGTTACAGACTAGCGTATTTACTTCCAACTTTCAATAATGTCAATGGATTCTAATTTGTGTGTTGTTTCTACTTGTTTCTAGAAATTTGGATAAGTGTACGGAGTACAGTAGAGTTAAATATACCAGATTTAAACAGGGGATGATAGGTCTAGAAGAACGTAACCCCACAATTGGTTCTAAAACAAGCAACACTGGCAGTTCCTACAGCTACACCACAAAAAAAAGATAATGGTTGCCTTCAAACTGTATCATTGCTGGAACCTTTTCCTATTCCCAACTCCATATTTTCATGCACAAATGCCAGCCTCCACATCATTAGTGCTGATAGGAACTTTGTTTCCAAAAAATCACGCGTGAAACTGGTGTTTGATTTATTCAACTAATAACTGCTCCGCAACTGACCAAGATAATTGTGTGTAGGAGAGCCAAGCTAGGTGAACTGCAATGATTGAAGAGGAGGTTTTGCAAAATGAAGTGCACCCCCCACACAAAACAATAATGCCATTCGGCTGCGAGCTACCAATCCATGGTGGGGCAATAGTACTTCCTGTATCACCTGTCATGAGTAAGCCTACAGGCACATGGCAATCGGACCAGGAGTGTCACAGAGGGAAACTTCAAAAAAAAAAAAATACCTTTGGAATTCTGCAAGTAAACCAGCCATGTCAATGTTTCGCTGGGTTTTTGGCACAGGTTTGCTGCGCTGTCTCTTAGCATTGGTCGCTGTATTGTCATCCCCTGGCGCGGTGGTTCGTTTGCCGCTTGATAACGCAGCACTGGAGTTTCGTATCTGCCGATGAAACCACACTGACTTGTGTGTCTTCTTGTACTCTCTCACATCTGGGGCTCCCAGGGAAAACTCCAGCACCGGGAGTGAACCTATCTCAAACATCTTCGAGTCATCCACTCCATTTGCAGATGTAATGTAGCTTCTGAAACATTTATCTACTGTTTTGTTGGTGGCATTGACTCTACGAGTGAGCCAGCCATGCCTCTCACCGACACCTTTGGCGCTTTCGTCTGCGAACTGTGGGCAACCCACTGCAATGAGAACCTCAAGTGAAGGAAACCGGTCTAGGTATGAGAAAACCCGTACAGTGATGTCGGGCTGTAAGCGAAGCATCAATACCCGTAGGTTTTGGAAGGCTTCATTTCTCAACGCCAGCTCGCTCCAGCTCCTCATAAGGCGATCAGTTAGCATGGCTATTGGCATGTCATTGCCCTCATCAGCGGAGGGTTTCACAAACAATGGAGCAGTGATATCCAATGCTACCAAGTTGATAATCTTTGATATCTCAACAAGATCATGGAGATCAGCATAATCCGTTGAGATGCTCAAAACGGTACCCCAACTCAGCGATGGAGAGTTAATTAGCTGGAAGTAAGCGAGAAGAGGCATTTTCTTAGTCGAAGTTTTCAGAGAATAATGCGGTTCCATTTTGGAAAACTCGTTGGGGTACGCTGTTGTGAATATTTTCCACATATGCATGGTCCGTCTTCTGCTAGGCATTGGCGTTAAAAAGAGAAACTCCTGAAATATATGAGACAAACAGATCGTAAAAAGACACCTTAATAACAATTACTTACCAGCGGCCTAAGCAATCCCACAAGTACTTGGCTAGTTCCCAGGGGCAGTCCGCAAAATGCCCTGCGGTGAGTGGACGCTGGTCCAGGAGGGTTTTCCGCATGGCCATATGTTTTAATGTATTGGCACCGCACGGGCTGCCTTCTTCCCACCCTGGAGGCAGGAAGGGCGATTCATGGCTCCAAGATGGCCCTGCGGCGTCTGATGGATAAATGAAAGATGGGATGACACTGTCCGTGTATACTTGGCCACTGGCCCTATCGAATCCCTTCTTCGCCATTCATTTGATATCGCAGGTCATCATTACTCTCCACACTCGCGTTTCTTCGTGGATGTTAATCCAAACCAAAACAGATTCTTTAGCCGTGAAAAGGCCCAGCTTCCCGTGAGAGTAAATTAGGATTGAAGGCCCCGGGGAGTTTCTTGGGACAGACGGAAGGAAACAATATCTTTTTCTCAGCAGTTGGGATTTTTAAAACATGTTGTTGTAATGGGATTTTCCGTAGAGGTTTAGTTTCAGACAGACTACGGATACTTCAACGTAAATTCGCCAAGCAAAATCAACAAAAAAGTATGCTAGACCATATATGGTTTATATTTGGAACGCTAAGCCAAATATGGACTAGCGTAACGGCTCCATCGAACCTCTAATCTTTCATCTCAGCCTCGGGCTCATTCGGATCTCACCAACTTCTCTCGACGTTTGAGGCTTGTCCATAATTGGCACTCTTTGGATGTTTAAAGTTTAGGCTCTCTATGTATGCAGGCTCTGCAGGTTATTCTTTCCACTAGTGACGGTGTGCTGCTGAAGAGAGTTTCTTAGGCTCCACCATCTATGTTGCCTCAATTACCGGGTTGGGTGCTGTGTCCCCGGATTAGGAATCAAATGTTGCTGCATGGAGCTGTGGAGTAACTGAATGTTACCATACTGCTTCCTAACCACACATCAACATAGTGCTGCTGCTTGTGTGTGTGTAATTCTCAATTGTTTGGTGCGTGGGGGGCGAATCGAGAGTTTTACACCGTGGACAACTGAGAATGATGCAACCTGCCCTAGAATCTGGCATAAGAACACTTCTGTTTCACATATTTTCTGAAGAAAGTATATACTCTTTTCTCTAATTTTCTTTGCTCATGCCAATTAGGTGAGGGGATAACCGTTTCTTTCTCTAATTATGAAAGCAGCTTGGTGCTGGGACCGATCGAAAGCGTTGCCGTCATTTCTTTATGGGCCAGGTTGACATTCTGTCCAACTTTCCAAGTCTTGATTTACATTGCCTTAAAAGCATTGACTTTTAGTTGCCCTCTACCTTATATTTTGTCTAAAGGGGCAGCATGGATGTATGGATACACCATGACAGGAAACATACATTGGCCATTTTTCATTTTTTTTCATTTTTTTTTTTTTTCATGTAGTTGATTTGACTCTGTTTTACGCTTGATTTCCGTGGGCGCCAGATAGGCCAAGGAGAATTTCCTTTCTCTCCCATCTCTTCTTTTCCCCTTGCATCCTCACCTTTTTTTTACTTCTTTTTTTATTGTTGTTGTTGTTGTTGTTGAAAACGCCTGTTAAGCCACCTCGCCAGTACATCCCTTTAATTGCTTGGCTGCTCGATAAGAGCAGGAAAATAATATTCCCCTACAATACGTCATCTATCCTGTTCACTGGAGATGTCAATCACCCAGCCACCCTCATCAGTATAGGACACTACCCCCTCCATCAGCAACTTGTCGGAACCTTCCGTTACGTGACCTATATTCCACCATATAGTCGTTCTCGTGGTTAGCAAACTTTGCAATCGACAAGCTTTTTCCATTCTGTCACAACTCATACAATGAGAAAGAATACGTTCGTATAAAAATATCCATACCAGCACCCTCCCTACACACAGTAACCACGCGCAGCTACCACCAATCCCGTCCCCGCGCCACAAATATTACAACCCGCTTACCCCCTCCTACACCCCCTCCGCGGCGCCCTATCCAACCCCCACCTCTCATCCACCTCATCCAAAAGCCCCCAAAGCCCACAATCCTCCAACGCCTTATTCCCCAACACATCCTTCAAACTAACCAACTTGAAACTCGCCAACACCCCCGTCCCACCGCCCAACGACGCCGGCAACTCATTCGCATCATCATGCACAACAAGCAATCCATGCGGGAACTCATCCGACAGCCGCGTTCCAACAACCGCAACCCCATCCGAATTGGTCACGCCGTCAACCAACCGGTCGCCAGATGGTCCAACCGTGAACGTCAAGACGTGCTCGTGCGGCGCCGCACGGCGGAAGACGGATAATGCGCTAACCCCCTGACAGGAGACGATTAGGAAACCTTGTGATGGGTTCTTGCCGGGAACGATTGCCAGGCCCTCGACGTCCGCGAAGAGTGTGCCATCTCCTACTCGCGCGACTACCGTGCCGACATTGGACCCGTCAGGCTCGGCATCATAGCGCCAGACGCCTGCGGCTTCTTCGCCGATGAAGATGTGGCCGTTGTCGTCGTCTGCAACGCAGCCTTCGACTTGGGTGCCGGAGCCACCCCTAAAAGAGCGCACGAGGGTTGTGGATAGGGTACCATTGGGTGAGGTGGTAAGTTCATATTGCAGGTATTTGGCTTTTTTGGAGTTGACGAAGAGATATTGTTTACCAGTTGTGCGGGAACGGTAGGCACAGGAACCGTAGACGCCGTAGTCCGGCTCCGTTGGTTGTTTGCCGCCGGGGATTTCGGCTAGGCGGCCATCCGGGGTAATTTCGAAGAGGCTGGGAGAAGGGGTTAATGAGGGGACATGTATATCTGGAAATTGGTTCAAAGATGTTGGGAATATGTTATATCATTTTGTATCTGATGTGCGATACATACCACAATGTGTTGTCCTTCCTGCAAGCTGCGTATGCGAGATCGATCTCTCTGTTGCCAGCCTTAAATCTGTATATGATGTCTACATTATTGGGGTTTCCTGCCTTCATATGTTGAAGGTGTTTCCCATTGAGGTCAAATACGCTCAGTCCAGCCCCTTCAGTGGATTTGATGGTAGTTATGACTCTCGACTTGTCAGGGGAACTTTTGGATATCCAAATCGCAGGGTCATCTCCGTCACCGCCGTTAGCTTCTGTTTCACTCTTGGGATTCACAAGAAGAAACGAACAGTCTGGCCCACTCCAGGAATCTTTGCACTTGCACACGTTGGGGCCGACGCATTGACCACGACCCGAGCAGGTATTCTTGCACGTAAACTGTGAGCAATCTTTGCCTGTAAATCCAGCGAAACAAGAGAGTGAGCCATCTGTATTGCCGAAACCGTTCTTCTTATTTTCTTTATGCGGGAATCCAGGTGCTCGCGGGTCATATTTCGTGTTGGGTTCGAGGACCAACGCGGCAAATGCTGATTCCAAGGAGCTGACACCAAATGATTGCCCAGCACTGGACTTCAGAGCAAAGCCAACTAGGCCAGCGGGGTAGTTTGCATGTTTGCTCTGATAAATTGACAACCCTTTAGCCTCAAGCTCTTCGAATCCCGTGAGTTTCAGTGAACCTTGGAGCTCCAGCCTTGGTGAGTATACCCCGATGGTATTAGCACTGACGATCAGAAAGTGAATAGAAGAAACGGCTACGTAGACGGCCAACCCGTTGATGTCATCCTCTACTTTTCCTACCATGTCGACCTTAGGGGCGGATGTCGAGTCCTCGGCTTTGAAGCTGTAGATAGACTTGTCATCATCAGCCGCGAAGTAGACTGTTGAGTCGTCTGGTGAAATGGCACAGGAATTTGGTTCTACGGGAATACCAAACGTTTGGACCTGGAACGCTGTTAGCCGGAACGTACGTATATATATGATGCTATTTCGTGAAAGAAAAACGTCCAATGAAGGAGAGAACCAAACCTCTAGAAGACGAGCCCGTCTTCAAAGTCTACATAACAACTGACCTCAAGAACGTCAATAGCATTATTCTTCTCCCTCACAATAAACTGAACCGCCTGCTTCTTCCCAAACAAATAAAAGAACCGAGTCCCACTTTTAGGACTCCGCCACGGACACAGAGCAGACCAATCCCCCAACATCACCTTTCGGTTCGAAGGGAGCTCCGTCGCCTGATGCGCATCAAAGACACGAATGACGGAGTCCGTGGCCGCAATTGAAATGACAATATCCCTGTCGCCAACATCATAGAGCACCCCGACCACTTTTGTTCGTCCGTGAACATGAACGGCCTGCTCCGGCAGAAATCCACGGGTGCCATTGTTGGCAAGATTCCAGGCCTTCCAGCCGCCAGTTACGGCACTGGCATCATTTCCTATGAGAATTGGTTCTTTCGCACCCTTGCCATAGTAGATGACTGAGTTGTCGCTGTGAACTTCAGCAGTTAAGCCAGATATGGGGAGGTTGGCGGATGGGGGAGCAGTCAGTGCTGGAATAACCCCCGGGAGCAAGAGAAGGGTGAGAGCAACTGTAGCGGCTGTCACAGGTTGCGGGAGCACCATCCTGGGTTAAGAATAACTGAAGAAGAGGGAAAAGAGAGAGTGAGAGATATGTATAGGACATGATCGCAAAGGAGGGGAATTGAGATATTTTATATGATATATACTAGGGGCGTTGTAGACATGTACGCATTTGTACTGTGCATATAGGGGTAGATCGGGGGCTATGGGTGGATGTGGAATGGGGTGTTCACCCCCTTGACAAGTCCTGAAAAAGACCAGTTGCGCCCCTTCCTAGGGAGTGCACCCCGTTTGTACGTGGCATCTTGTCCTTTACGGCCTCAACCCGATAAAGGCCGTTGCTGTGGCCTGACATTGGTGTTTCCAAGCGGAAAATGCCTGCCCAGCCCTGGAGTCCGTCCGCTCTCACGGGCAAGCCGAGTATCCAATGGTCTGCCGCAGGAGCAGCGCATGCTCTGGTTAATTAGTCTCAGTACAGCCATTGGTGTTTAGGCGAGATTAAAGCAGGCCACGCTATGTTGTGTGTGTGTGTGTGTGTGTGTGTGTGTGTGTGTGTGTGTGTGTGTGTGTGTGTGTGTGTCGATGTTGGACAAGGGAAGGGGATTGTCATTATTTAGTTTGATGCCAAACTCCCCATGTTCTTCTGCAGGGACTTCGAGAGGTTCCATTGACGTTGGGATAGAATTATCGAGATGTCGTTTCATTGGCCAACCAGAATTAGCTATTCGACCACGAACATCGCATCGCTCGCCTCTACTAACTATTAGTTAGTTACCCAGTTAACTAACGTACAAATTCCACAGATTTCTTTATTTTACTTATTACTTTTTCATAGTAAACTAAGTTTTATAAAAGTGAGCCTTAGACTAATGAAAGACTCTGGGCATCGACCTAATGGTTCCAGTATCCAGCTTCCCCTCCGTGTGATCTATCTTCATTCTCAATGATTGCAAGTCGGTCAGCGTCTCCCCATTCATAAGCCAATCCAATACCCAAGCTCCTTCGTATCAATTTGACCCACCGCAATGGCTCCATCAACTTCAACATCAACATTCCCCAAACTCCTCCAGAAGCGCCCTGCATGCTGATGGCGCGGGCTCTTTTGCACGACCGTCGTCTGTTGCTTTCTCTGCGCACTGACAAGACTCTGGAACGTAGCATTCCTAACAGCGATTTCGAACATTTCCAACCGAGAAGGGGGGCGAGAGCAATTTCCGCGCCACACGATCAGCTCACTTGAGAAGAAGCTCGACCGCTTCTGTTGCCTCATTGCGGTCATCTCCGAAGAAGACACCGTAAGGGCACCCTGGTAAAGGATCTATGTCGCTGAGCAAGAGATATCGCTTGCGTAGGCGTGGAAATATTGATCGTGGTAGTGAACATAGTAAGTCTTCTCGTATTGCTAGCAACGGGACCTTGGGGGTGAGCTCGACGGAGGTGATGCATTTCTAGTATTCGTGGGGGAGGTGGTTTGGTAGTTGATGCGTACAAGCAATCGAATAGGTAGGATAAATCATGTCTGATTCTCTTCTAATAAGATGGGCAAATGCCCTGCTATATATATACACACTATAATCACTCTATATGGTAGGAGCGATTGCATAGGATAGGAAATATAGGAAAGATTGGGGCCTCTGAGTGGATTAGGGAGGGGTGAATAGAGAGTGGATACTAATATAGAAAGGGGCGGAAGAATAGGGGCGGAAGAATAGGGGCGGAACGCCACAGTAGTCGTGGAAGCATGCCCACGGAGCGCAGGCGGATGGTGTTGGCGGAATATAACATGTTAATTGCTTCGATGTACCTACTAGCTGATGAGCAAGCATGCATTTATTATTATTATTATTATTATTATTATTATTATTATTATTATTATTATTATTATTATTATTATTATTATTATTATTATTATTTTAAAAAAAAACATGGACACACGAAGGCCATTCGGAATAACCATATCATATACTCCAGGTATGTGTCTAACAATAAGAATACGTGTACATTGTAGCAGGTTCCGTGGATATACTTACGCCAACCGACAGCTCAACAATAACTCCAATAAGAACCCTACCAAAACTTATCCAGCTCTCTACCATACAACATCTCCGCAATCATTCTCCCGAGGCAAACGCCAGTCAAGTGCATATGGACAGAAATAAGCCGTCCTAGATAAACGGTCCGTGCCATCATCCTCAACATGCACGACCCCATTTCCAAATGCAAGCACGCAGATCTGCAGATGTAGCTCCGGTGGGAGCTTGTTGAAGAACATACTGTTGCGGACTGCTAGGGAGGGATCTGTACTACCTGGGGGGCAGATGTTGATATCCGTCGCTGGGGTCCTTGTCATGAATTCTTTTAGGGCTGCTTTTGTTGGCCTTGGTGGCCATCGTTTGCCTTGTCGAGGTTTTAGTTTGCGGAAGATGCGTTGGAGCAGAGGGGCGGTCGCTACCATTTTTTCTTTTGCAAGGATAGTTTTAACCTGTCCATTTCCTTTGCTTTATTTTTTCAGTTTGCTTCATCTCCGGTGGAAGAGGGGTTGTAGAACGGTGTTGTGTAGATGTAAAAATCGACATGTTTTGTAGGGCCAGCCACATATCCATGATTGGGCTGATATCCCAGGCGGTGCAGAATACCAAAGCCATGTAGACTCCCAATTATCACACGAGAAAACGCCATCAGCCGGAGGTAATATATATGGCTGAAGAAGCTGCGAAGAAGTATACTCTCAAGTTTTGTTCCTACAATAGAAATGATGCAACATTGATCTTAACTCTAAGATTATTCCCTTGACACCGAGAAATATATCTAGACAGCAGGGAGTTAACTAGTTCCACTTACTAAGCAAATGTAGGGGGACATGACCTCCTGAATTGAAATCAGAATTTCTCCTTGTTGTTTATCAATACATATCATCTCAACCCTCACAGCGTCTACTTGTTGAATTCCACACTCTTCCTGTGTCAGCCTTAGAAAAAAGGTCTGTATTGTTCTATCATTGTGGAAGATTGCGCAGCACCATTTTTGTTTATATGGGAGCGAAAAATCGCAAAAAAATGGAAAACGACGACACAATGGGAAACGCCCTCCCTAAAACACCTCGATTTAAAGGTACGGTTTGATCTGCTTCTCAGTCCATTCCCAGAACTTCAACGCTGTCCCATTGCCCCCCTCCTCCTCGGTCTTCGTTGCCTCGACCAAATCTTTCCGAACGGGAGCGAATCTTCCCCACGGTATGACTAAAACAGAATTTTCGCCATGGTTAAATACACAAGTCTGCTTAAGCCCGTACGAACAGAAGACACTTACTCCAAGTCCCCGGCTCCTTATTGGTGACCTCCCGCGACAACCCAGCAAACAACTCAGTATAAGCTCCGAAGACAGGTGGATATATAAACGGCCGCAGAAGAAGCTTCAGCAACAACGCCCGATGCCGTGTCAGATCTGAAGCAAGGTTTCCCGGATTAAGTGCTAGACTAACAACACCCTCGTCCTTGTGCCGTTTCGCAAACTCAACGGCATACAAATAATTTCCAGCCTTGCTGATGGCATAATTGACATACTGTGGAGAGGTGAGTGCTGGCCAGCTGGTCCAGTTTGTCCAAGAGTATGCCGACCGATCTAGGAGCTCCAGTCTCCATGGTCACTGATGAAACCCAAACCACGCGAACTGTGTTGCGGGGCTCAGTCTTGGCCGTAGACAGGAGGGTTGAGGTTAGTAGTTTTGGAAAGAGAAAGGGGGCGATGGCGTTGACGCCTAGCTGGAGCTCGAAACCTTGGACTGTCTTGGAGCCAGTGGGCAGTGTCATGACGCCAGCATTGTTGAAGAGGACGTGCAGCTTGTCTTCCTTGGAGAGGAAGATTTTGGCTGACGTTTTGATAGTGGCTAGGTCACTGAGGTTCAGAGGTAGGAAGATCAATTGACCCTTGGAATGGGGATTGGCTCTTTTGATCTCGTCGATCGTGTGATTGACCTTGTCCTCTGAGCGCACTGCTGCGTAAACCTTGTCATCTTTGGAGTAGAAAACCTGGGCTACTTCCTTGCCAATCCCGGTGTTTGAGCCTGTTACGATGTAGACCTGGGAATATATTGAAATGTGATTTTAATTTTATGAGAGGTGAATTGTCAGGTGAGAAGGCGTGAATAGCTTACCTTTCCCAGAAGACTCGGCAGGTTCTTATCTGTGAAAAGGGGTTGAGGGGGAAATACCTGAGTCCACAGGCTCCTGAGGCTAGAGAACATTTTGGCCACCGTAATCATCAAATGATCGATTGCGCAATGCCCGCAAACTGCATCCCGCAATAAGAAGGGAGACGCATGTTCAAACGTCCAAAGTGTTTGGCTATTTTGGCTCTTTTACCTGATGTCATTACCCTGCAGCAATCCTTGGTTTGATCTTGCCCCAAAACGGTTAGTCAGCGCGGTGATCTGGGTTCCCACAAATTTGGGGGAGCAAACGCATCCAACGAAGGTTGATATACAACTCACTGAATGGACCCGATACTTCGTAACTAGCCCGTCAAGGCTTGCAAATTCAAAGTGTCGAATCCAGTGCTTACACAGAACTATCCCAAACCGTACATTGCCGATCCTCGAAATCATAGCACTGGTGATTCCGACTGCGCCAGTGAATATCTCCATATTATAAACACAATTTTTAAAATTCATGCTTCGCAGAGCCCCAGATAAGTTGCTCTGCAGAAGAGAACTTGGACTTGATCACTGTTGCGATTACTTGGAAACAAAAGAAGATTCCATCTCTTCCATACATAGCATCGCAGTATGTGAAGGAAAATCAAAAGGAAAAGTCCGCGTATTTCGAAAAATTTCGAACGCCGGGGGGTAAGCTTAAAAAGGGTCTTTCGCGGTTTTGTTGGAGTTAGGGTTCGGTGCCCTTTCTGCCTCCGAGGCATGGTTTGATGGTTGTCACGTAGGGCTGAGCTCTCGTCAGGTGGAACGGTGCCTATTTCTGGCGCCCGTTTGTGATGTCATCATAGGGCAAAAGCTGTGGAACGCTTGACTTTTGCGGGAGGTTTTGTTGATGACACCAACACTCAGTGTCTCTCCAGTGTCTCTCCAGTACAGTCAGTGCCACACACACACACAGGGGATCTTAACTAATGAACGGACAGCTGAATGTTTGCTGAGTCTTGTTGGACGAACCGAAGGAGGGACAAAGATAGGGTCCGACTCATTGTTTTGCCGTATTGCTACACTGTAAAAGAGTAGCCATCTATTAGTAACTATCAGATCACACGCGGGAGCGGTATTGTTATCATTGAAATAGTGACGGTATACAATCACCCCATCCTTACCCTGGAGACGGGGGGGTGAGCAATGCACACAGAGTACATCATGGATGTATGAAGATCCCCGGGATCTTCGTCATGAAACATGAAATAATCACAACCCTTGGGATGGCAATCCAGGACACCAAACGCCTTAACATCTCCTGACCTGGTCCAAGTGACCACAGGGAGACAGGCGACGACAACAACGAACAATGGTAAGGAGGATGATGCTGACAGTAATGACACACGGTCTTTTCTTAGTCTCGCGTCTAATAATAAGTCGCCAAGGATGAGAATTAACCACCATCCTTCTCGTTTTCATGGAGTACGACGCTTACGGTTCCTGTCATCCAGCCTCGTGTCTGTGTCGTACAGGAAGACAAGCCTTATGATGTGCCTCACTATCAGACAGTCTGAAAATGACCTCGTTGGAATGAGCTGATGAGATTAACAGTCCGCAACCCCCAAGAGGATGATGCCGATCGCTGGGCTCTGTTTTGTTGGCTAATTTCAGCAAAGAGGGCCCCCCCAACCTTAGTTGGGAACTTAGATCATCCGCGGCTACATCCCCCCTCTGCGATGATTGTGCATCCTGATCCCTCGTTCATTTGTTCATTTGTTCATTGATGATGGCTCAGCGAAGAGCAGTGCCATGAAAGGGAAGCGCATCTCAGCTGCCTGGGTGTTGCCGTGTACATGCTATGTCCTTTACAAAAGCATGTCCTCATGTTCTTTGCTTCTCGTCTGATTAATTTATCTGCTACTGTCTCATCTTCACTGTTCATCTCTTCACTTGTTGATGCTCATAAATCTGCAATACAATAAGGAGTGCTAGATGCTCCTGGCGAACTCGCATATCGCTCCGATTTTAATGCTGCGCTCTTTACTTAGTCCAGAAGTTACTGCATTTACAAGCCTGACTTGCTCCCCTTAGCATTAACTAGTTCTGAGTTACAAACCTATCGACGCCCCTCTTCTCTTCCTCTCAACTGATAATTATGTTCGGCGCCCCACAGCGTCGAAAGCATGAGACACCTGAAGAGCAACAAACGAGATCCCAAGGTGACTTCGATCGTGTAGAGACCGACCTCGCCCATGTCCCTTCTTTACGTTTGACCCCGCTCTTAGGAATTATAGCATCGTTCCTGGGTAAAGGAAATCCTCTCATCCAGCCCGCAAACCCTCAGCAACACAGAGTATGGCTCCTCGATAACACCGCCTACCGCGCACCTGGGGGCAGATTCCACGACAATCAAACATGGCAAGTCGAGATAGTTGCATGCATCTTTATTAAGCGGGGCCGTGAAGAAGTTGGCAAGTTCGTCGCAACCATCGCAGACGCCATCGGACTGGATGGGGATATTGGTCTGAACAACCGGGAAACCAGAGACCGCATGGCTGAGCGGGTGCAACCTTTTGTCGATTCAATCGCTCCAGGCCGCTCCATAAGTCTGGATATACCCATTACGCGCCATACAGTCATCAAACGCAAGCTAAACCCATCCGACAAAAACGGTATCATTTCGCAGGTAGTCCGGATAGGCGGGACAGATGTCCCCAACGGCACAATAATCCACCCATCCCTCCGACACTGGAGCCATAATGTATCCATGGAAACCGAATTCGCTTCTCCGACGGGCTGGCTGATAATTTCAGACGTCGACGACACGATCAAATACACCCAGACCTGCAACGCAGTGGGCATCCTGCGCACAACATTCGCCGAAATCCCACAGCCCATCGCCGGCATGCCCACTCTGTATTCGCACATCGACAAATCCCTCACGCCAACATGGTTCTACCTCTCCGCCTCGCCATACAATCTGTACCCATTCCTCCGCACATTCCTCCGCCAAGTGTACCCACCAGGCACCCTCATCCTGCGTAACAGTTCATGGATGGATATGAGTGGGCTGCTCAAGTCATTCACTCAGGGGACGGAGACTTATAAAGTCGAGCGCATGGAGAAGCTGTACCGCTGGTTCCCGAAACGCAAGGTCGTTTGCATTGGGGACTCGACACAGAGTGACCCGGAGGCGTATGGAGAGATATATCGCCGGCATAAGCACTGGGTTCGGGCTATATTTATACGGAAAGTGACGGATGTGGTGAATATGGAGGATAAGAATAAGGATAAGCGCTTTGTTAAGGCGTTTGAGGGCGTGCCGGAGAGCGTGTGGAGAGTGTTTGAGGATACGGAGGATCTTTATCGGGAGGTTGATTTGTTAAGGCAGGATGAGAATCCGAATTATTAATAAATTTAAGTATTTTTTTTTTTCTTTCTTTTCGATTTTCCATTTCTTGTTTGATGACTTGCTGGCGGATTCATATTAGGAGTGGGATGGGATGAGGAGAATTTCGTTTTGACGGCGTGTCTCCGCATATCTCTTCTATTTCGTTGTCTTTTCGTTTGTTTTTCCTTGCGCTTTGGTCGGACTTATCTGGATTGTCTCATTTTACCCCTTTCCCCTATACCCCTAGGAGCGACATTGTCAGGAGGACCTATGATTTATGCCAAGTTGCCATTTTATTATTTCTATGTAAAAGAGCTACTTTGCCCTTTTTTTTTATTCGTTAACCATGATGTTTTCTTACATATTTGTTTCCCTCGAAACGCCTTATCCCTTGTTTTACTAGATTTACACAACTTGGAGCATACAGGCGTAGTTTGCGGGTTAGAAGCGCGGCGGAATGTGGAATAATCTCCCCGCATATAACTATCTATCTATTGTATAACTAGTTAGTACAGGGTTTTAACAACAGCGTAATTTCGATCATTGCTTGCTTCTCAGCTGCTAGTTGGTAACAGCAATCAAACCTTTATTGAGGCGGATGTAAAGTGAAATATTTATGAACTCGTTGCGCTCGGAACCCAAACATCACATGTATGTTCCCTTATACTTAAGCCTCTGCTGTTCCTGGAACACTGATGTCAACTCCAAACTCAACTTTTACCATCAGTAAACTAGCAATTTTGGAACAACTCTTCCCTATCTGATATATGCTATATAAAGTGTCTGTACATCCATGGCCCTGACTCAATAATTGATGCTATATTTAAATTTTTAAACCGTTATTTAATCACATCAAAGCCTTCAAGCTACGAATAGCTCCCGCAACCCCTTTTCTCTGCTAAAAGCAATCAAATCCCCCTGCCGAAATTCAATCCAACAACGATATGCACGTAATAACACAATTCACTAATATTATTATACTACCTTATCCCCTCATCAATCGGCCAAACAATCAAAAATTCCACTAACCACCAACTACCCCTTCCACTCTGCCCTCATAACCCTCCTCCACTCCCCTTCCCGCGCCAGCAAAAAAGGGAAGACAACCCCAACCCGCCTACACAATGCAGCCAGCCCCGCGAACTCACACTTCCATATACGCGGAACAGGAAAACATTCCCCCGGCCATGGCAGCCCTCACCCTCACCCTCCCCGCCTCCCACCACTACACTTCCACCAACCCTCCCCCGCCATCCACCCTCATCTACACCTCCACCCACCCAACCCCAACCCCCACAGAATCCCAATACCTCCTAAAAATCCTAGCGACAGCCTTTCTGCCACGGCGAGCTCGGGTGGGCTGAAACCCTCCGCCACCCACCATCCCCCACCACCTCCGCCTCCGCCTCCGCAAACCAAAGCCAAAGCCAAAGCCAAATCCAAGACTTCAAGCGCATACCCGGCCACGACGTCACAGGTATAATCCTCTCTACACCTCAGGTAGACGAGCACAGCGTCACGGGTCCTAGATTCAAAGTTGGCGATGAGGTGATGGGGTTGCTTGCATTTGAGAGGGATGGGGGTGCGGCGGATGTGGCGGTGGCGGTGGAGGGGGAGTTGGCGTTTAAGCCGAGGAATGTCGGGGCGGTGGAGGGGGCGTGTTTGCCGTTGAGTGCGTTGACGGGGTGGCAGGCGTTGTTTGAACAGGTGGGGTTGAGGGGGGTGGTGATGTATAGTGATGATGAGGATGAGGAGCGGGAGAGGGTGAGGCAGAGGGAGCGAGATGATGAAGAGGAAGTGAAGAGGGTCCTTGTGCTGAATGCTAGTGGTGGTGTGGGTGTTATGCTGTGTCAGCTGTTGAGGGCGAAGATGTTATTTGGAGAGAATAGAAGTCAGAGATTTTGGGTTTGTGGGGTGTGTTCGGGGCGGAATATGGGGTTTGTCAGGGGGGAATTGGGTGCTGATGAGGTGTTGGATTATACGCAGGAGAAGGGGTTGGCGGAGGCGTTTAGGAAGCGTGGGTGGGAGTCTGTGGATCTTGTGCTGGACTGTGTTGGGGGGGAGTCATTGAGGCAGGCGCATGATGCTGCTGTGGTAAGGGATGGGGGTTTTGTTGTTAGTATTGCACAGCCAATCCCGGAGCGGGAGCTTGAGTGGGAGGGGGTCAGGAATGAGATCAAGAGGAGGGCATTGACAAGTAGGTTTTTCATTGTTAGACCGGATGGGGAGCAGTTGGGGAAAATTGGGTTGTTGGTGGAAAAGGGTGAGCTGAGGGCTTTTGTTGCGAAGGAGATGGGGTTGTATGAGGGGAGGGAGGCTATGGAGTTGGTGGAGAGTGGGAGGATGAGAGGGAAGGTGGTTTTGAGGGTTAATTATTATGATCCGTAGGTAGATAGGGCAGGGCGGATTTCTTTCAGGTGGTCATGTAAGTTAAAGTCTTCTATATTATATATATATATATATATATATATGAGTGAGTGAGTGTGTGAGTGTGTCTGCGTGTCTGCGTGTGTAGGTAGAATATCATTATGTTATGTGATGCTTAGCATTGTCATCTACACAGGAGAAAGAATGTCATGTGTGTGAAATGCAGACAAGGAATAGGATAATGATAATAAAAATGAATAAGTGCTAAGATTAAGGCAGAATGTAGATGAAATGGTGGGGAAAAAAAAATCATAATAAGAATAAGAAAGAGCTTCGAAGAAGAACGAGGTAAAATAAGAAATAAAAACAAAAAGGCCGCTTTAGTAAACCACTTGTTCTTCCCAGTCCGCACCCATGGTAAGTTTTCATACATACAGTGATCTCCCTTCCGGAAACCCGCCTGGTCTTGAATTCTCATGCTCTACCTACATAGGAGGCATGAAGCGTCGGTAAAAGGGACGAGGATGGTAGAATGTAACGAGCAAATAAGAGATAAAGAGATAGAAGGGTAGTAAGAGAGAAACGAGAGAGAGAAATGAGGAGATATATTCCGATATTGAAATTTTACGTCACGCGCGAAGGAGGAAAATATGGTAAAGAGAGAAATCCAGACAGATATGATATGATGGTTCATTGTGTAGAGAATACTCATCCTGCTTTTTACTATTTCAATTCTCCCCTTCACCATACAGATGGAAATAGGAGCCACGGTCTGTGGAGAACCGAGAGGAATGAGCTTGAGGACATGATTTGGTTGGTGGGTTGGTGGGTGGGGAGGAGCATGAAGAATAGTAAAGCGGATTATCGAACGTTGGGAGGGAAGGCGGCTTGGCTTTCTTGGTCTGGTTTTGTCTGTTTGAACGGTGGACAAGATAAAATGGGAGGAATGGACAAATGTCGAGAGAAAATATCACATTTAACTCTTCGAAATAGTTTAGACAGACTGATAGGCCTAGTGTAATAGAATAACGGGTAAACAACGACGGTTGCTCAGAGAAGGGAATCCAGGCGAGTAAATACGCTCAGACAGGCTGCTATCACCTGGAGGGAGTTGACGAATTAGTTAGCCAGCCTAGGTCCCAGATTCAGACGGGGGGAGGAAGACTGTAGAAGAAATGAAATATATAATCATACCTCTAGTTGAAGCTCTTTATCCTTCGCCTTATCAACTTCCTCATTTACCTCTTGAGCCAAATTCGCGCCAATACCCTGACCGCCGCCCGCCCGCCGCGCAAACGGCCACTGCGAATATTCCGACAACAGTTCATCAACCTGTGCAAAGGCTCTTTCCCGCGCCTCATGGCCCATAGTCACCAGCGCATTTTCAAGGACGTTAGCAGCATACGCTGCACAAACCATCGTGATTGTCCGGAGGTATCTAAATTCAATGTCCTCGGGGAGGAACTGGTTTGGGGTGAGGATAACAGTGCGATTGCTACAGATGTTGCGGACTCGTTTGTGGATTTCGTCTTTGGCACCAGTGTCGGCGACGGGGTGGGTGGCCATATCGAAAAGGAGGAAGTTGCGTTTCTCAGTGCGGAGGATGCCTTTGTCTACCAGGCCCTTTGCTAGTCGTTCTCGGACTTGTTTCAATTGATAACCGATTTTCATAAGGTTCCATGTTTCGCCTGTTCCTGACGTTAATGGCCTTGACGACTAGTTATGCTATTCGCGCATGAGGACTATAGGATATGGACAGAGGAGGCGTACCACTCAGGAGATCGATCCAAGAGCTGACACTCATCTTTTCACTTGACTTCATCATTTTTAACGTCTCGTCCAGCAAGACCTCTCCAGTCAGCGTATCATCGATGACCTCGATTACCCGGTCAGCAAGTGGAAAGCGTCGTCTCGACGAGTCCTTTTGCATACTAATGCGGCCGCGAAATGCTAATTCGATAACGATACAACCTCGTAGGGCGTACGAAATATTCTCGTTCCAGAAAGATAGATATCCCTATCAGATCATGCGAGCACACGCATAACAGCAGTCTCCAAGTTAGTTCCACTGCAAACATATATTTCCTCAAATATGAAGTTTTGATGCATAAATAAAGGCAGAATGCATATGTAAGGCTGCGCCCTCTCAGAGCACAGGGAGATTTGCCCCAACCAACGCACCTGCTTATCTTTTAAACCCATCAGAAGCACCTCTTCCATTAGTGTGAGCTTAGGTTGCTTATTCCTCTCATCACTTTCACTGATATCCCGTGGATCAAAGGCGATCTTGTGTCCATTTTCGCCTGTGAAGGATGTTTCCGGCACGCGACTGTCGAAGGAAGATCCGTTTAACGGGGACGGTGAGGCGACCCGACTGCCTTCATTATTATCGTCTGTGTTTGAACGAACGCCTCCGCGACGGCGCGTCAGACCACCGGCAGAAGCCATAGGATGGGAATACGGGAGAAAAGGAGAGACGAGGAGGGGAGGAGGAGAGGAGGAGAGGAGGAGAGGAGGAGAAGAGGAGAAGAGGGTGGCTTTTTGTGTCGAATCAGCACCCGGGTGGGGGGTTTGTTGACCGGTTTGGGAGCTCAGGGATGGATGGTTAGGTGAAGCATGGGTTTTGAGGATTGGAGGTGGTTTAGTTCTGGTGGTGGATACTTCTATGATCAGCTTGTTCCAGGAGTAAATTAATCGGGGAGGTTGAAGATCCGAACAAAAATTCTGTTTTTGGCGGAGTTCACGCGGGCTTGGGGCTTTCGGGGAGATTTACCGTTAAGGAGATAGTTGCTGAGGACGACAGGCGGGATCAATTGGAGGACGAGTCGAGTACGCAGTATGGGACAGTTGGATATCGCGGCTGGGGATGGAGGAGGTGGTAGTTGTGGTTGATGATAGGTGGTAGTAAGGTGAGGTGAAGAGGTTAAGTTGATTATGCTTTTGGGACAGGTTGGTTTGACGTGAGCAGGAGTTGGCTGGGCTCTGGCTGGGGCTTGGCATCAGACATCAAGACACAGACTTTGCATATATTCAAAAGATTCAATTGAACCCTGGAGTGTGTTATTTTAGTAGGAAATATTTTAGGAGACAAGCAGCAATTGAATGTCACTGAGATTTAACTTGATATCAAACATGTTTCTGCTTCATATTGTGCGAATTTAACTACTCCCATAAACAAGCGCACAACACGGGGTACATACTGAGAAAAGATCTCCACATTAAAAGAACCACCACCTCCCATTTTCTTGAATGTTAACCATAGACGCTGCTGACACTTTTGCTAATAATGGACAATTAATTTCTCTGTTTTATCCTTTTTGTACACGAATACCATGCTTGGAGGGCCCGGATTTTTGCTCTAGTTTTATTGAGTTGCATTTTGAGAAAAAAAACAGAAATCAGAAAGAAAAAGAATAAATTGATGTACATGATATGGCAAATAAGGAACGGAAGTGTCCCTTTAATCTATCGAACTCCACTAACGCTGGTGCAGATTCCGCTGCTACTGCTGCTGCTGCCACTGCTGTTTCTGCCATTGCCACATCCTACATACTGGATGCCATATGGATACATGACACGTCAAGTGTATCCAGCCCCTTCGTCTCTCGTTTCGTCTATCCAGGATCTATATGCTCTTAGTGGGCTACAGCAGATAGAAGTTAGCACAAGTGACAGCGTGATTGCAGAATCACGGACAACATACCATCGGGCTGAGAGCTAATATACTTCACGGCTTGGTCAACTATTTCTGGTCAGTAAACAATACCTTACTCTGATAAAACACCCGGCTACGTGTCCATTATTGATATTCGGAACCTCGTATCTCGATCTTTATGGCAGGAGGTAACCTACTGCTGTGGATAGCATCTGCTTCCTTATCGGGGATTTCGATGCTGAATTCCTGTATAAAACAGATTCGAGTCAGGATGTGATATGGTCCTCTTATTTCGAGCAAACAACAAAGATGACGGATGAATTACCTCCTCAATGGCCATCACAACCTCAACGGTATCCAAGCTATCCAGTCCCAAGTCGTTCGCAAAGTGTGATTTGCCGTTGATCTTCAGAACCAACAATTAGTTCTATAAGTACCAGCGTATGCACTGATTCCGGAGAACAACTATGTTATCATTACCTTGGATGGGTCCGAGACCTATAAAAACACACACAGATGTATGAGCAATTCTGCTGATACGATATAGTGATAATGAAAGTCAATTTTGCCAACAGACTACATTCACCATCGAATGCGTATCACAACATACCTTGTCAAAGTTCTTCAACAAATCGACTATTCTGCCCTCAATCTCAGGCTCCGTTAGACCAGCGGGGGCAGAGTATGATCGGATGGTCTGGCAGGTGAAGCATGGTGTGAATTGGGCTGGGCGGATGGCAGAGAGCGAGCTCTTTGGGAGTTGGAAAGTGGCTCCAGAAGGTCTGATGAAAGCGCGAGCGGGTGTGGAGGCAGCGCGCAGCGACCTGGCAACGGCGGAACGGAACATGGTAGAGATAATAAGTGGGGGAAGAGGCCGGAATCGTGGGAATGGATCTGGATATTGTGTAGTGTAGCAGTGGATATTAGTTGTTTAATGTATCTGATCTGATGGCTGGAGGTTCGATGCGTTTCATTCTCTTTTTGCAAGTGGTTGAAGTTTCTTCGATGCGGGTTTTGCACCGGAACACACCGCCCAGCCAATCACGGGGCGGCAGAATTGTATGACCACGCACAAGTTTCCCAAAACGTCGCAGTGGGCAAGATCCAAGATATCTACAAACGCCTATATCGACAATTCCAAAAAACGACGGCTGACATATTACCCCTGGTATCTAGCTATTTGTGTACCTTGTCTTCCCCACAATGGCTTCCTCAAAAGCTGTTTTCAGGTTAATCGCCTACAGACGGCCAGCGCTGTCGCAGATATCGCCCCAGTCCTCCACACATCTACGCTCCACACCTGCGTTCTCATTCTCAACCTCCTCTCCAGTGTCTGCGACACCCGCCGGCCCTCCACGGCAAGGCTTCCGCCTCCCACCTCCCAAGGCATGGGACCAGGGCGATGAATCCGCCCTCGACAAAGCCGGCAAATACTTCCTCATGACAGAGATGCTACGGGGCATGTACGTTGTATTGGAGCAATTCTTCAGACCGCCGTACGTATTCTCCCCATCGCTAAACCCACTATACCGATTTTCCTCATAAGGGCCTCAATGATACGACTGTAATCACTTTATGCCACGGGGCTGACTCTGAATTCCTCGGTACATTGCTCTAATATCCTATGTAGATATACCATCTTCTACCCTTTCGAAAAGGGCCCCATATCCCCCCGATTCCGTGGAGAGCACGCACTACGCCGCTACCCATCCGGCGAAGAGCGCTGCATCGCCTGCAAGTTATGCGAAGCCATATGTCCCGCACAAGCCATCACCATCGAGGCCGAGGAGCGAGAAGACGGAAGCAGGCGGACCACTCGCTATGATATTGATATGACCAAGTGCATCTACTGCGGTTTCTGCCAGGAGAGCTGTCCTGTCGATGCTATTGTTGAATGTAAGCGTTTAAAACTCTCTCCATATTGTGTCGTGATTATTTTGATACCCCCCGAATTTTTAAACGGGCATATATAATACGAGACATATAATATTCCATGTAAAACGGGGGCAAGTAGATAGCTGACAACTCTGCTGCTGCACTTAAATATAGCACCAAATGCCGAATACGCAACAGAAACGAGAGAAGAATTGCTATACAACAAGGAGAAACTGCTCGCCAATGGCGACAAATGGGAACCAGAGATAGCTGCTGCCGCAAGGGCTGATGCGCCCTACAGATAAAAGAAAAAGGAAAAGGAAAAATCCTCCTAGCAGCTAAAGAGCTACTAATCGAGCTTTGTTCCTTGTTTTCTTTCCATTGATCCTCTTTTATCTTCTCCTATGGATAATATCGAAGAAGAAAATGATGTACATTGTATAATACATACAGTTTCATGTATAAGAGATACTATGGACATAGCCTTTTAATATCTTTTGGAGAAAGATGATTGCAGCAAATATGTGCTGCATTGCTTTTGTCCTAGGTTGGGCTTTCGCTTTGGAAACCCATATCTGCTCTTACAGGTGACATCGACAGTGGGAAAGCCTCCCCTTTCAAATTGTCATCTTGCTAGCATTTTGTTGTCCTCCCATTTTCCTCCTTCATCTGCTCTTCCATATCTTTTGTTGCCTGCTTTTTATTCCCCCCATCTTTTCCTTATCCCCTCTTGTTCCCCTACTGCATCTAATCAAGCATCGCCCTTGTTTGTCAAAAAAATTGAAAGGCAAGCAGCGGCTCAAAAGGCATGGAATATGGATGAATGAATATAAGAAAACACCTCTGACATACAGAATTAGAAGTGCAAGATTTTTAAATGCCGGAGGGAGTGCAAAAGACACGTTGGTGATGTCGTACGCAACAAGAACTACCAGGCAAAGGTACCCAAGGTAGAGGTAAAACAGGAGTGGAGTGATCTGACGGTCTGCCGTGATGAATTTCGAGGTTAAAAGAACCATAAACCTGGGCTGAAAATAACCTACATTTATTGAATTCTATAGTATTATATAATAGCATATTGCATCCCCCTTCCTGTCCTTTATTTTTCATGTTGTGGCCCTCCCGGTCTGTGTCATAGTGTATGTTTACTCTATATCTATCAACACACAGAACGGGGTCAAACGGGGACAATTTGTACACCAAACGGTAAGCGGAAGAAGAAAAAATGAGCCTTGTAGAATATAGCCATAAACTCCCCTCCATGAAAAGAACATATAACATAAATTCACAGAAAGATAGAACAACAAAAAAGGTAGGTATATGTAGCGCAATCCAACTGCCACGTTCCATTCCCCCCCTCCCCCGTCCCCAAGCAGAGACACTCTTACTTCTTCGCATTAAACCCCCCTTCAAACCCAGGCCTCTTCTTCACAGAACCCTTCCCCTTCTTCTTCCCCACCTTAGAGCCCTTCTCCTCCCTCCTCTTCCTCAAATTCTCCACCCGCTTCTTCTGTCTCATCTCCTTCCCCTTAACCACCCCTTCAATCCTCTCCTTCCACTCCTTCTCACTCTTCCTTTTCATCCCCGTCTTACGATTCAACGTTTTCTTCAACAGTGACACATCATCTTTCACCTTCTCCCCATGCGCCTTCTTCTTGGCCTTCAACCACATATCCTTCTCCTCAATCTCCGCTCTCTTCTTCTCATCCAGCCCCGCCAACCGGGCCTTCTTAGCTTCCAGCGCCTTCAACGCAGTTTGCGCATCCTGTGGACCCTTGCGTTTCTTCTCGTCGAGGAGCGTGGATAGGGTGGGATCCGCCTGCTGGCCATCTGCGAAGACAACACGCCCGAAGGAAAAGTTGTTCGGGATCGAGGAGATGGAATCAGCCGGGGATCCGGGGGAGGCAAGTAGTGAGCCAGAGCCACGCGGTGAGAATCGTCTTGCAATAGCCTCATCTCTTTTTCTCTGCTCCTCCTCGCGCGCTTTCTGGCGCATCTCCTTCTTATGTGCTTTGCGCTGTTCTTCGCGATGTCTTCTTGCTTCGATGAGTTCCTGGCGGTTGCGGGCGGGCTTGCCGTTGAAGCCGTCGGCATGCCGTGCGGCTCGTAGCTCTTCTATGCGTTTTTGTAATCTCTGCTTAAGCTCCTCTGGTGTTAGATTTGTGGGCTTCTTGGTTGGGGGTTGTGTGGTTTCTGTTTGTGGTATTGTTTTTGTTTCTGCTTTGGAGTTGGAGAAGGGGGAAACAGGAGGGACGATTGAGGAAATGGAGGGCGACCCGGATGGAGGGTTGGAGGGATCCAAGGGTTGTGAATTAGGGCCGGGGGATGATGAGGCGGAGGATGCTGGTTCTGCATTGTCTTCATCTTGCAAGGCAGAAAATCCTTCTATTGGGGTGATGTCTTCATCTACTTCGTCATCGTTGTCTGCATTGGGCACGACCTCCTGTTGTTTTTGTTGTTTAAGGCCCTCCCGCTTCTCATTCACCTTAGAAGCTTCTTCTGTACTCCACTTGGCGGCCTTTTGCTTCTTTTCTAGCTTGGCTGCTACTTTCAATTTCTTCTGTTCCCTTTTCGCTGCCTTTTTCTCCGCCTTCTGGGCCTGTCGCTTTTTGAGAGCTTCTGAATTTTCATCCTTGTCTTTGGCCTGGCCTCCTTCTGCTTTGTCTGCCTTTTTTTGCTTCTTCAATTCATTCTGACCCCCAATAAGACCCTCTGTTGGTGCTTTATTGTCTAGTTCCACATCGCCGTCATCATTATCGGAATCTGATTCTCCCTCTTCCCCTCTCTTCCTTTTCCGGGCATTTTCGACCATTACATCCTTTGCAGTCTTCGAGGCATCAGGGTCGAGCTTTGCACGTTTGGCTTTGCGAGCTTCCTCTTTCGTTTGCTTTTTCCGCTGCCACTGATTCTACAGCCCAAGAAAGTAGGCATAGAATAAGCACACGATTCTATCCCGGAGCAGGACGAGAAAAATCACAGTTTAACTATGGGCACCTACAGATGTATCTTCACCATAGTAATATTTTGCTGGAATCAACGATAGTAATCCATCAAAGGCTTGAGCATGGTTGCGTAGCCGTTCCTATATGTATAGGCACCAGCATTAGTCCCATCTAGTTTACGACAAATATATAGAGTAGAAGAAGTTGATAGAAAGCTTCGCGTGAAGAAGAAAAAAAACAAAAACGCAAATTCTCACCTCGATGCTATTCGCCATATCGATTATTAAAAGATCCTATAGCAGGATTATCCGTATAGCAAGAAGTCCCAGGTCTTCTCTTTCTTCTCCTTCTTGTCTTCGACCCCTTGTTGCCTGGCGGAGATCGATCGTGGCAGCGCAACCGATACACCCGCTCGCTGGTGGGAGAAAAATTAATTTGTTAAGAATCGCAGGTGTGGGGTGAGGTGAAATCTTGGCGCTGGGCGGTTTCTCGGTTAGTTATATAGCATAACAAGATCAAAATACCTTACTTGTGGCATTTACAGAGCACATTCTACAGACATCAACTCTTCAAAGGATGGATATCTATGTATACGTTCGATAGATTACTTCACTTACACCTGCATGCTCATTGTTTGTTAGTCCGCTTCTTGATTGAGCATCGACGCTCACTCTTTAACTGCAGAGGAACCATGGCTAAGTGCAGTCGACCGGTCTGAGCAGCTTGACCTCCGCGTATCCCGTCCATTCTTTACGGTGTTCACTGCATTGTAACATAATGCCGTGTTCCAATTATTAACCAATTAGCTATATATATGCCTGGGCGAGTCGACGCTTCTTTCCACTAATGCCTAATGCTGCCAATATCTGCCTGTTAATCCTGTCGACAAAAAATCCGACTACTTTACGGCGGGCAAGAGGGATATCCCTCCAACCTCGACACTTATAATACATATGTTTGCCCATTTCGTGAACTCTTATCCAGTAAACAAATGCGGTCCAGAGAGGATTCCAATCGATACTTGAGATCAGCCTTCCGGCTTGGTTGATTCAATAAACTCTCCGGCAGTTCACAGTTTAACTATCCTTCAGTTTCTCGAGAATGGAGTCTTCAATTCCCCACCTCCCTAATGAGCTCTGGGCGCCCATCGCATACTTCACAGACCACGAATCCCTCAAAGACCCTGCGGCTGGTCTCCTTCGCACTTTCGAAGCTTACAACCCGTGAGCTTTTCCAAGGTTGTGAAGCTTAAAGAAACAATTCAGTCCACACTGCTTTGAGAGGATGGAGAAGATCTGGATGCATAAAGAGCTAAAGAGACGTGCAAACAAGCCCAGTCTGGATTTTGATGGGGTTGCATCTTGTGAGTTGATTTATTGTGCTGGCCTTATCGTCAATGTTTTTCACTGTCATGTGAAAATGCCTAAGGATATATAAGCGATATCGACGGATGGCATTGCACGCGGTCAGCGTTAATGCTGGCGAGAGCGGGGAATGGGAACGGAGAATTTATATGTAACAGTCGATATTATTACTGACAATGGATACTTATATGGACGCATCTAGGGCCTTCCTTCATCCCAATTTAACTACCTAGATTCACTCGAGAGCTTCCCCTCACCCTGGCTCTAGCCCTCATCAGCCACCTTACAGCAACACTTATCCCTCTTCTCATCCATGTGCTTTGGCTTTACCCAAAGCTCGACCTCAGAAACAGTCACTTCCCAAGTTTGCGATCCCTCACGTTGGGCAGATACTCCTTTGTCCACGACTCCCAGCTCGACTAGATTCTTCGCCACGACCTAACCATCCGCAAGCTCTACATGGAAAACTGCATCATCGTTTTCGAAATCGAAGTCAACAGGTACAACAAGAGCCAGTGCCATTGCCCATCAGAAATAGAGCTAGGCTATGGCTCGGGAGACCCTTCCAATCGGTCCATGAGATATGGCGCCAGCTATACCCAGCGTCGGCACGATTACTTTCTCGCTTCTCGCGTTTTAAGAGGGACTACCATATTTTGAATATTTCCTCTTTGGCTCCAGTCCACATTGGTGCACTGTGGGGGGAGGTCTGGAGAGGACAATATTAGGATAAATTTGGGTAAGAGCAAGTATTTGGCGTTTGGCAGTGAGTATATAATTAGCTCCTATATGGGTGGATTCGGTGCTGATTGTGCGGAGGCCGATGAGCCCCCTCGGCGGCCTGACTGTGTGGAGGAGGATTGGGCCGCCTAAGAGAATCGCTGTGAAGGACTGTGCAAGTGATTAATATAGACAAGCTGCTGTTGGATTGTTGAAGTGTGGGAGCTGTTGAGGGAGAGGTGTGGCGGAAAGGGGGCAGGAGTATATGTATGGATACAACGCAGTCGAAAATGTATTTTGGAATTTGAATTCTATGAAGTCAAACGGGACGCATAGGGATATAAGAGCCCTATATACCGTACCACTAACTGAATAATAGCGAAGTTGCATACGGTGCACAAACGCCGAATTATACAATCCGCTACTCTAACCCGCAAGTGGTAATATGACATGCCCCGCCGGAATAGCTGATGGTGGTGGGAAGCCGATAGGTATATAAAACAAGGCAGATTGTCAGCACAATCACAGCAGAACCATAACTATATCCCGATCATTCGGGAAATTCGAAGCCCTTTGCTTGCAATCAGCCTTGAGAGTCTTCATTCCGCCCATACAGCAGGAGAAAGGTGGCGCAGTCCGAAGACAAGCATTTAACTACATAGCCCGATATTGAGACTGCTTCTTTTGTGCAGGGGTAACACACCACATCATCGGACAGCTATCAGATATACTCTGTATGCATGTCCACATCCATGAACAGTGTTCGATTCTCCTTCTGGAATTCAAGAGCAAATTGTGAATGGTTCAGATCTGAAGGGAATCTGCATGATGCAGATTCCTAAGGAGCGGTCCTTAAGTTGAACCTGCATAGCCACATCATGAAAACCTCTCGTAAGCCAACTTGCAGGCCCTTGGAGACAAAAGAGTTTCACCAGAAGCGGACAAGAACCGTGGCGCAGTAGCGACAAGCGATGTCTTGGCCGTTGATCTTTGCCGGAAGTGCACATAATTCCGACGACTGGAAATGGTCAGTGAACGTTGTGCGTTGAGCAGGTGTGGCGCATGCTGTTGGATGGCACTTCTGGTTATCGTTGTATCAACCAAGGCAAACACCTCAAATTGCGTCTTACACCATATGGATTGCCCGACACCCGCTGGATATTTGTGGAGGATGGGACATGTGCCTAGGTACCCTGGTACCTAAAGTATGGGCCCATCCGCGAAAAGATACAGTTAAGTGCATGTGTGTTCGGGATGTCTGCGGGTTTTCGAGGGCAGTTTTGAGCCAACACTTTCGCATGGATCAGCTGGTAATCCAATAGAGCATGATCAGAAATCACCCAACCACAGATTCAGCGCAAGAAACGGGGCCATAGCGAATCACAGACAGAGAAAGCCACCAGCGCCAAGCTGGGTAGGCGGGGTTGGTCGGTTCAGCTGCAACGGACCCGCAGAAGCAAAAACGGTTTCGGTTGAGACGGTGGATGGTGGACAGCGCAGGTGGATTCCTGAGCCCCCGCCTTCGAGAGTGACGCCTCCCAGATGACAAAGTAATCGTAATAGTAGTTAACTAACTAACGAAGTTATAGTATAATAATCAATGGCGTGTGAAGGGGTTATGCTGCGGCTGTAACTACTCCATATCGACCCTAGTATTGACTAACTACCGTAGGGCTAGATGGAAGGGAAGAGAGGGAAGGGATCATGGGTATGCGTCGTCAAATATAAAAATAATATAAAAGAGTGTGACTGTCCCGCTTCCTCGTCTTGTTCTATCGTATATTTCTCTCATCCGATCCCTCCACATAGACGTTACTGAGAGCCCATCCCTCTAACACATCTTCTCGAATCCGTCTTCTCTCACTCTTCCCTTGCTACCCTCAAACCTCTCAGACTCCCACCCCACACCCAACATGTCCGGTCCATACGATAGCCAGAACCCAAACTATTACGGCCAGGGCGGCTACCCACCCCAACAAGGATACGGTCAAGCACCACCTGACCAATTCAACCAGGGCCAATACCCACCTCAGCAAGGCTACGGCGGGCAGCCCCCCTATGACCAGCAGCAACACCAGCCACAACAGTTCGAGGGTAGTAATCAGGGATACTATGGCCAGCAGCAGCAACCACAGAATCAGCAACCATACGATTCAAGCCAGCAAGGTTACGGGCAACAGCAATATCAGCAACAGCCACCATATGACCAGCAAGGGTGAGCCACAGTTCTCCTCCCGAGACCCTCTTCTTCATATTCCCTTTCACACACTCAAGAATAAAATAAAATAAAAAAAAACACAAAAAAGATAAAAGAAGTTAAAGCTGAAGTTTTCTCCCGCCTTCAGAGCCCAACGACAAGACGTTGCCCCCGGTGGCGCCCAAGAGGGCGAGCGTGGTATCGGCGGAGCCATAACCGGCGGTCTCGCAGGTGGCTTCGTCGGCTCGAAGGCCAACCATGGCATCCTCGGCACAATCGGCGGCGCCATCATAGGCAGCATCGCGGAGGACAAGCTCAAGAACCGCAAGAAGCACAAGCATGGTCACAGCGGTAGTCACCACGGCAGCAGCCACGGCGGAAGTCAGTTTGGAGGATCGAACTCCGGTTTCTTAGGGTCCGCTGCAGGGTCGCTTTTTGGGAAGAAGTGAGAGGGTATTTTAAGATATTGTGACTCGAGCCGCTTCCCCCCTAGATCGCGTCTCCTTCATTCATTTCCCTTTTTTCTGTTTCGAGATTATTTTTATCCAGTCTCCGAGTTTCATATTTTTATCTCCGATGTGTCTTGTTCCCTCGTGTCCACCCCCCACCGGGGGCTTGTTTTAATCGTGTGGGTTTTGCTGATATTTATAACTCTATGATACGCCATAATGACCAATGCCCTTTCTTGTCGTATTTGTTTCCTGAAGAATTTCGGCCCTGCGAATGTCTTATGCTTCCTCCTGTTCGTCTCTCATCTGCCGTGTTAATGTTATCTGCCAACTCACCTCATAACAATTTCCCATATAAAACTAGCATCAGTATCATTTTCACATCCACCCTAATATCTGTGTATGTAGATGTGTAAAAATATAGAAAAGAGAAGTAAAGAATCAGTATATTACAATTATTTCCGGCAAACAAAATATTCCACCCTAAAACGGTTTAGCGTGCAAAAGTTGACGTTCCTTTAACAATTTTATCTTTTAGCTTCCAAACCACAGTTATATGCCCCCGTTGCCTGTCTGCCAACCACACCTCCGCATCATGATAATACGACGGCTATTCGGACGGCAGGGTGAGTTTGCCAGATTTGACCTGTCTATATACCCTTGCTAACAATTGCATCTCGATAGGCCTGTCCTTGCTAAGGTCCTCTCCCCGGACAACAACAGCGGCATGTGGTCGCTTTTTCTCCACGGAGTCTGACTCCATTCCCCCTCGGCCAATTGCGCAGCGGATTACTCAATTAAACAGCTGGGAAAATGCCATTCCAACAGCTGCGCTGGAAGAAAGTCCGGAGTCGTGGGGAGAGCAGCAGGATATCGCTCCCCGTGCGGGAGATCCCGTGGAAAACCCGCAAGAGATTGCCGAAGCTGAAGCTGGGATGTTAGCACCAGTGGTTCCCGGACAGAGCGATTCTACTTCATCGTCACACATAGCAAAGCCATGTATGTGCAGTGTACCCCAATTGCGATCTCCCCATCAGGCCCCCATATAACTAACCATCATCATCATCATCACTTCGAACCCCACCCCCCCCCCAGCCCCTAAAGAATTCCACAAACTCGGTTCCGAAATCCGAAACATCTACAAACCCGAATCTCTCATACAAAACCCCCCACACGTCCAAGATATCACCCTGGAACTCCTCCTCGCCTCCCAAACCCACCTTGGCCACGCAACCTCTCTCTGGAACCCCGCGAACTCAGAATACATCTTCGGCAGCCGACATGGCATCCACATCATCTCCCTTGACGTGACAGCCGCATACCTCCGCCGGGCCGCCAAGGTAGTGCACGAAGTAGCCAAGCGCGGTGGCCTGATTCTCTTCGTTGGCACGCGCAAGGGCCAGCGACGCATCGTTGTCGGCGCCGCCAGCCGCGCGAAGGGATGCCACGTCTTCCAGCGCTGGATACCGGGCAGCTTAACGAATAGCGAGCAGATCCTGGGCCACTGTGAGAAGAAAGTGGTTAATGCCTTCGACGAGCCATTGGGGGGCTACGAAGATAAGCTGGAGAAATTGCCCGCACTCAAGCCGGATTTGGTGGTTTGTTTGAATCCGCTAGAGAATCGACCGTTGTTGCATGAGTGTGGGCTACATATGATTCCAACGATTGGGATTATTGATACGGATGCCAATCCAACGCATGTTACATATCCGATTCCGGCAAATGATGATAGTTTGAGGTCTGTGGCGGTTATTGCGGGGGTTTTGGGCCGTGCTGCGGAGGAAGGGCAGGCGGTGAGGTTGCAGGAGGCGAGAGAGGGGAATGTTACGTATCCGGTGAATGATATGTTGGCGAATTGGAAGCTGGTGGCATCGGAGCATGTTGAAGCCAGCAGGGACGAGAATCAATAATCTAAATTTTATTGAGTGTGTGAGCAGCGGTATGATGGGAGGTTGTATTATTTTGAAATAACTTGTCTCTCCGTGACCTTATGATCTGGTCGTCTGTTGATATCATAGAGAATTTATGTTTAAATATTGATATTTCCTCCCCCCCCCCCCCGCGCTGGGGGTATATTTCACTTCTTGTACTGATCGTATGTATATACCTGAAGAGAACAGGCAATGATAGATAACTTCAAGTAAAGCAATAGACATACTTTATGCAAAGGAAGCCGCACATATCGCTCGATTGAACCTTGTCCACTATCCTACACTTCAATCCAGCTATGTTCCTGATGAGACAACACACCAAGAAGAAAGGGGGTTGAATTGAATGACCACAAAATGAAAACATTTGTAACTATCAACAAACCCATTCCTAAGAGCGGGAAAAGGTAAATAGGAAATTTTCATTACCACTCAATTATCCAACTCCTTTTAGCAGTGGTTATCCTCCTTTACTTCTATCTCCATGAACATGAAAAGAGAGACGCTTGACGTATTCCTGAACCCCTGGAACCAACACTGCTAGGACTCTGGAAGCTGCATTCAAAATAACTGCGGTCACAGTCATTTCTCTTATCAGTCAAAGAGCATGAATCTTACTTGGATTTTCCCTCTTGATGAGCTGTGCTTTAGCCGGTATTCTGTTTTACACATTCAATCCTGACAACGAATCGCAAGCAAGTCCTGAGTTCACCACCCTGAGAATTTATCACTGAAATCATTGCAATATGAAAATTAATGACATTGGAGCAACCTGTTGGTAAGGAGCTCAAAGTCAATGTGGGGGGTTGGTTCTCATGATCGCGCAGTCCAAAGAGAACAAGCGCCAAAGCAGCTGGTTGATCATTGTCGTCGAAGAAACCAGGCAACCGCTGACTCTCTCACGACTTACTTCGACTACCAATATTAAATTTTTCATTTAGGCAGCAGGTTGTGATAAAATGTTATTTGAAAGATTTACAACAAGGTCGCTTGGACAATGTTTGCCGAGGATAGCGGATTGATGGTCTGCCAAGATTGAGAAGCGCTGCGAAAAGGCCTCTTGGTCAAGATTTGTTTGCATTTCGAACCTTGAATCATTCAAGTAAAAACAAAAACCCACAAAGAATCGGCATTTCTTTGCCCCGGATGGTTCTCAAGGTTCAAGAACGCACCTGATTCCGTGTCTTAGCGTGTGTTCCAAGAATGACGAAGAACGCGCCGAGACGTTGATACGAAGCAAAGATTGAGTTCATTCGACGGGTTGAGGGGCAAGCCAAGTTGCTGCCTGAGCATCAGGTTCACTCTTCCCTGTTGACTGGTCGTCATCAAATGCTGGGGATTTCTTGACGATCAAGGATTTACACTGCCGGGACGGAATGAGGAGAAATGGAAATGGCCGGTTATGGATATTTAAAGAGGGAGAATTTCCAATTGAGAATAATATAAATTCATCAAACCTGATCTTCTGGAGTACAATATCTATCTCCTCTGCTCTACTTTAAGCTACTTACGCTGAACTTCGCTTGGCTTGCCTCAACAAACCTCTGTCCTGAGAACACTCAACCCTCGTACCAAAAGTTCAACTCTCACCAACACCAACAACCAACATGGCCACTCAGCAAAAGAGCATCATCCTAACTCTCCCGGCAACAGACATCGCTGCATCAACCCGCTTCGGAACCGCACTCGGTTTCAAGCTGGGTCCATACAGCGACTCCAAATGGAATGTGCATCTCGAACACGACAAGTCCTTCAGCATCTTCTACACCACACACGTCATGTTTAGCAAATGGCTTCCCAAAGAGCGGGAGATTGCCTGCACCAAAGCTGTCCATGAGATGATCGTTACCATTTCGGTGGATTCAAATGAAGAGGTCGACGCATTGGTTGAGAAGGGGCTTGCGGCGGGTGGGACTCGAGGCCCTGATATGCTTGCTGACGGTGGTAATGCGTGCGGCGTTGAGGAGGGTGTCAAGGCTGCCGACCACCCCATGCCGCATTCCAGGAGCGTGCTGGATCCGGACGGACATCTTTTCGAGTTCGTATGCTTTAATATGGAGGCACCAGAGGGCAAGAAGGACGAGAATTAAACGTCTTGAAAATTGGCTGGGGGAATATTGGGGGGGTTGGTTGGGAAGATTTGGAACGCTGAATATCTTAGTGAGATTGTCATTATTGGACTGAAGGGCGTTTGGCTGGGTTGGAGATACCCTGCAAATATGAAAGAAGCTGGAAATGTCATGTCCAAATCACTATTCTATTCTGTCATCTCTGGAAGTAAATAATTTAAGGCTTGAAGTTTCTCTTTTTCATATATTTACACAATGAAATCTATACCAACTGTTTCAAAGATATCCTGGCTCGGAACATCCTAAAACGGCTCTCTGTCAATTAGGGTATAAAACAGCGCAGCATATCTGAAAACATGGCAGTTGGCCAATCGAAACGGTCAATCAAATCAAAAATATAAACGCAAAATTCAACAGAAAGTTGAATCAGGGAGTGAGCTGCAAATCTAGAACAGAATGTTGACGAAAACCCCTTCATCCAAGAGCTCTCATAGTAAATTCCACACTGAAAAAATATGAAAAGTTAGCAATGCAAATATTCGCTGAGGGTAAGATTCCAGGGGATTTTGAATGAAGAACAGATTGAGAAAACGGAACCACTCACACTGCGAATGTCCCTGCTGAAACTGGCATCGCCCTCAACAATGTTGGTCCGATTCCTTTCCAGAAACCACCCAGCCCCTCCGCCGCAAAGGTTTTCTTAAAACAATCAGTCATCCCGGAAAATTTCTGTTGAGCCCCAATCCCATCACTCTGCATTTTACTCTTAACCACATCGAGAGGATAGCTTCCCAACCAGAGAGCTTCGCCAGCCAGTCCTCCATATGTGGCGACTTTAACGGCGGAAATCTCTTCTCGTTTAATATTATTGCGCTTCGCCTCCCAGTTCATGAGGTATTCGAAGCTGAGGAACCAAACGCCGTACGCTTGGGCTTCTCGCAAGATGGTGACGAGTTCTCCCCTATAAAGCCCCTTGAGGACTCCTTCATGGGAAGACAGTTTGCGGATGCAATCGAGCGGTCCGTTATAGATCCGCTGGGCGCCATGGGGCTGGGTCTGTAACCGGATGCGGACATGCTCTATAGGCCCAGATATCACAGAATTGGTAATTCCAGCAAAAGCTCCGGCAAGGTAATATTGGGGATAAGACAGGGATGTGTTTAGGGGGTTCTTCTTTGCGTTAAGCTCTTCGAAACGTCGCCGTGCTTCGTGGAAAGCTCCGAATTGGACGCTGACCTAGTGTAGATTATGCAAGTTAGGTAGTTAATCTATATATTGCCGGAGTAACTTCAAGAACTGCAACATGGGGTGGTTCAAATGCGAAAGTTTAAAGCGCGAACACCAATGCGATATATCCTTAAGGTTTAACCCGGGAACTTACACAAGCACCAATACCAATCAATGGTGTCAACGTTCCCTTATAAAAAGCCAATGGTCCTTCACCCTTTAAAATTTTTGTCGCGCAATCCAAGGCACTTGAGTACTGTGTCGTTGTCTGGAGGCGGACCTTGACAATATCTATACGGGGTTTAATTTGATGTTGGTCAGGAGAGCTATCTGAGTGGAAAACATACCGAATGGTTGGCCTGTAATAATGAACAACTTAGTATAGTTTTTTCAGTGCTGGAAGTGAGAACTAAATGGGAAATTTGCTGGGACGGATTGTATAGAAGCGCAAACACTTGAGAGGATGAGAGCTCCGCCAGCTTCAAAGGAGGAGGGAGGGAACAGTTCTAAATAGGAGAACACCCGTTCAGAGAACACTCACCGAGAAGAACCTGAGCAATACCTCCCGCAGCGCCTGCAGTAAGGTCTTTGATTGTTCTCAAAGCCCCCTGGCTTTCAATTTCATTAGACGCCATCTTTGTCCTCCCTCGCAAGCCGTCCCGACGTTATCAACCGCCAGTAGTTGTACCTCAACCAATTGAGCGTGAAACCAGAAATAAAAATTTGATGAAATCTGGATAGTAACTAGTTAATATAAGAGACGACACCAACTGCGGTGCAGCTAGCTCAAAAACCGATACCAATTCGGCGTGCGCGAGGAGGAGGGGATAAAACTAAGAAGTTGGAGTTGTCCTTACGGACAATCACGTCTTCAGAGTTTGCGTCATTCATCACCCTTTAACTCACGTAATCCACCCCGAGCTGGTCAAACCCCCAACAACTAGAAGCATATTATAGTTATTTAACCCGAAAACTCTACGCTCAATGTTCACAAATCATGTGACACCCTCAAATTTTCCGCCTGCAGGGCTATTATTGTTATTCTGGTTCTGTTGCATCCTATTTTCAGCATGCTACTTTGATCCTTCAGTTGCTCCTCTGTTATATACATATCTTAATTTCTTATTACACTTCTTTAAACATGTTAATCTAGTTGTTATATAATATCATATTTATTAATTATTTTTAATATATAATTTTAAAAATTTAAATCTATAATTATATTAATATAATAATAATAATAATAATAATAATAATAATAATAATAATAATAATAATAATAATAATAATAATACTTATTAAGTAATATATTTAACTAGTTACCTTATAACTAGCTAATTTAAAGTTATATATATAAATATTTTACTTTTATTAAAAAGATAAAGAATCTGTTTCAAATATCATAAAGTTTATTTTAAAAGAGAATTAAATTATAAATATACTGACTGTAAATTTCGTTCTTGCTCGGGGGCGGCTGCTTTGGGCCTGTTTTCGCGCCATTTTCGGCCTGTCCAGCGCATCGCCCTCCATCCACGGCCCGCCGCCCCAACCGCCACGCCCCAACCACCTTGCACACGTGAGCTCGTGGTTGGGGCCAAAGATCAGGCGTCTCACGCGCCTGCTCTCTCCCACTGGCGTTCTGGTCACTTCCAATGGCCGCGGTCCTTTTCCTTCAAGGCCACCAGAAACGGATCCTCTCGATCTTCGGCCTCCTTTTGCGTCGCCCTTCCTCACCCTGCCCATCCGCCTAATCCCAACATGGCCCTGGCCCTATATAATGAGCGCCAGCCGCCCCCGATGGCCTCGAGCCACCCCTCCTGCAATCCACATCATCAGAATATATCCACCTGCACCCCAAGCAAGCCTGCCCTTCTGCACGGCCATACACACCTGCTGGCCTCCACCCCTCTGTCCTGTCTTCGCCGCTACTTCTTCCCCCTCTCATCGTTTTATCAACCGTCCTCCTCGGCGCCGAGCACTCAAAGCTATGGCGCTTGCTGAACCCTGAAATTTGTGACTTTCTTCCAAGAATCAATAAGATTTCAAGTATTCTGGTCTTTCACCTCAAGAATTGTCATTATCTGTGGCCTTTCACCTAAAAAATATGACATCCCCCTTGGGTTATATTTGCTGCGGCTTTTTCGCTCAGCATTTTGCCATTCCCTGGTGGGTGCTGGCCCCTGCCGGACTTTTAATTTCGTGGCCTTCTCTACTGAGGTCGTGGCACCCCTCAAGGGATTCTACTATGGTACATCGCCAATATTACTCGGTTTCTCCTCGCCAAAGCTGCGCCGTGATGGCCTAGGCCCCCGGAATGATAATGAGCCCGAAAATGAGACTTTTTGGATTTTCCTTCGCCCAATGAGGACAGTGGTCAATTGCCGCTGGTGTACCATCGCCTAGCTATCTATGCCACAGTATGTGTGGGATGCCTCGGAAAAGACCAGGAGTATGCAAAGTGCAGTCAGGTGCTCCAGGCTGTGTCGAGGCCCACGGGAAAACTTGCGTCGATCACCGTGGAGGGCGACGATATACAAACCCAGCTTGAGTCCGTGCAATCCTCATACAAAGAATCACTACTTGATACTAATTGAGATGTTTTTTAACTATAAGAGATGCTTCCGCTCGCTCGTTGCCTTGTTCGACGGGCTGCTCATCCACATTGGTTCGCACTTGGGTTGTTGCCCTACACACAAGGAGAAAATTTGCTCCCATAGAACACCTTGGAGTTGGTTTGCCACCAGAAACTTTGAATCTGATTCTCGGATTTTGCAGTCTCAAGGTGGTTGAATGTAGTAATTAGAGAGTGGAGATTCAGTGGTTGGGATCAGTCAAGGTAGTATGTTGATTCTTGCTATCTGACACCGTATGGGTTTCTACTGTTTTTGTTGTCTTTTTATCAAATTTCTGGTTTTCCCCAAGGAGCTCACTGCCCCAAAAAATTCACTTCCACAAGAATGCTGGCTGGGACTCACTTCTCCAAAAAGCTCGCTTCCCCAGGGACGCTGACACCGCATGGGATTCTATCTTTGTTGCCTGTTCACACAGCATTCTGGCACTCTGGAAGGGCTTACTTCCCCCTAGGGATGCCGTCAGCGCATGGGGTTCCATCCTTTATTGCCTTTTCATGCAATATTGTGACACTCCCTGAGGGGTTCGCCTTCATCAGCATTCTCCCAATTCCCTAACTCCCGTAGGGAACTATAGTACTGCGCCACCACTTCACTGACTCCCGGGGGGGACCATTTAGGGCGTTCCCGGCAGATGGGCGAGATGGAGCAACAGGTTGACTCAACTATACTACCCACTGCTTCAGTATCACCTAATTAATGCAAGAGAGGGCAGATGGATAAATGACTGTGTATTATGATCTCAAATAAATAATGAGTGGTTAGAGATCCCATTTTCCATCACTTGCGTGTTGATGGTCGAGGGCGTAATGTGCTCAGACATTCCATTCGCTGCATCTCCTTCTTCCTCCTCTTTTGTTTCTTCTCCTGCTTCCGCAGCCGGAGCCTCGCATTTTCAGGGAGCCAGTTGTCTGGGAGATATGTATCCACCACATAAAACACATGGTGAACATATTTATTATTTCGCCATATTTTATCTCCGACATGACAAATCTTAAGGCTCTTTTCAACCTGCTGCGCCTCATACCAATAGGGAAGATTCTCCAATTCATCATGGGCCAACGGTTCTGTTGTAGCCCCAGAATCCGAGATATTGCCTCTACCGTCGGGTTCCATACCACCAGGAGGCTGAGGCTGGTTATTTGAAGTCCTGTCAACAGACAGCCGCTCGGGCGGGACGTTAAGGGGGGCTGCAGTCTTAGATGAGAAATCGATTTGAAGGATGGAGATAGGGTGTCATTAAGCCCTTACCAGAGGCATAGGTTTGGAAGGGCACCTTCTCGAGAAAGTCACCCAACGCCGCGCAATAAGCTGGAAGAGTGGATCGCTGCGCACCAGACGAAAAGAGTTGACTGGGTAGTGTCGGAGGGCCTCCGGTTCCTTGTCTATCCATGCTGAGGATGTGCAGAGATGCAGAGTAGGAAGAGAATATTGGAAGAAGAAAAAAAGATTTGGAGAAGGGCAGAGACTGAATTCAAATGAGAGGGAAAGCGCCATTTATAGCCCTTTATACCCCAACCCCATGTTGGTTGGACTGGCTGCACTGTCTGTCAGCAATGCCTTCCACCTGGTCCTTACTTCCTGGGGGGAACGCTAGGGCGGGCTGACCCGATGCCCATCTCGCTGCGCCCTCTCGCAAAAAGATCACAGGGGTGAAGTCAGGGATGCTTCTGCACTGGTTCATGTGCAGACGATTGGCTGCGGGTGTAGTTCCCTCTTTCGATTACATGCCAGCCAAATGACCCTCGCTTATCGACTGGGTTGAACTTCCTGAGGGTTGGGGAAAGGCTTTGGCTGGTATGAGTGCTGATTTACAGTGCGGGGGAATCCCTCTGGTCGACGTTGGTTGGATGAGAGCCCAAGTTTGCTTGATCTGACGCTCACCTTGCTGCGCCCTTTGGAGAAGCCGGCTTGGATGATAGGTCCAGAGGATGAGCTGCATTTTGCATTTTCCTTCACCTTGCTTTCGTGTATAAAGCCCCTATGGGATTGCCAAACCGCACTCATGGGGGTGTGGATCACAAAATGATAAGCCTCGATGCAGGTGGTGCATCGGATATTGCTGCATGTTGGTGTTTTCACTTAGAGTTGAGACATCCATGGGCTCGAGCTCAGAGGAGAAGCCAGGCGCACTTTTTGATCAGCACACATGGTTGAGTGAAGTTCGGCCGTCCTCATGCATGCCACCCTTGTGCTCCTTGTCCCCAGGTTTAGCGGTTTGTCGATTCGGCTTCCTGGCGCATGGCCAGGGGGAAAAGAGGGGGTGGGTGGTAGGTTGGCTGGCTGATATTCACTGGACGAGAGCCCATGTTGGCCTGGAGGTGGTGGCCAGGAGCACTCCTGCGTTGGCCCACCCCATCAATGCAACATTGCCTGGTCCGGCGGCTTCTTTGGTGTGGATGATTGGTGATCCATGCAAGACACATCTCAGCTACTATTTTTCCTACCCTCCTTGATTAGCCTCGACCTATTTTTGTTCACAGGCGGGGGTTGATCATGAGACATATAAAGACCTCCAGTGCCTCCTGGATTGAGATTGAGGGAGAAGAGCATCCCATCATCTCACCTCACAACATGGCTACCTTCACGTACAATATCACCTCCTCTGGACCTGCCAACCATTCTCCCTCACCTCGGCCGCACATGGAGCACCTCCTGTGGGCGTACACTTCTGATCCTCAGTCAGACGAAGTGCACCAGCACCTCCTTCCAATGCCCATGCCCATGCCCGTGCCCCTCTTCTCTGTGTCCGGTGACCTCTCTAAGGATGCAGCAAGTGAGGTGTTTGCTGATTTTTCTGCCCTGCCATCCACCATCTCTGGTCTCAATGACATTAACTGGGACGAATGGATCCTATTCAACTTCCCCCCAGTCAATGTTCCCCCACTGTCACTCCAACTGTCGGATTTCTCTGACGACCCCATTGAGGAGGCTCACCCAAGCCCAAGTGATGTTGCTGATGACCCACCCAATCGACAAGAGCCAACTCTTCCCCTGGCCCCAGAAGATGGCGAAGGCAACACATCGAAGGAGCTGTTGAACTCCGATGATTCCATCAAGGCTGACCCACGCCCGGCTGAGGAACATCACATCCAAGCCCACCGATCAGAGCAAGTTACCCCCCTGGTGTCCGACCGTTGGGATGCGTTGGGGGAGCTGGATAAGCAGGAATACATTATCTTGCCCCTTTCTCAAGTGAAGATACTGAAGCTGGTCTATGAGTGAGACAGGGATGAGATGTACCAGATAGTAGGAGATTTACAAGAAACATGGGGCGCGCAAGAAAAGCCTTGGAAGTACTCAGGTTCTGCTGGTAAGGCTCAGCACCTGTGCTGTGAAAAACATTTCTCACACCTCACTTCTCCCAGAAGACCCAATCATCGACGGACCAATGATTCCCACCAGCTTGCCTTGTGGTTCTGATCGGTTTATCGCCATTCCATCCCTTCGACGGAATATAGAGAGTGTTCCAGTGGGTTATGAGGTATATGCTGATATGACATTGGACGATTTGCAGGAGCATGGAGGGTTGGAACTGCTGGCAGCTTATTACTCCTGGAAGAACAGATGTCGTCAGACGAGGTCACGTGGATTACGTCAGCATTGATGCAGGTAGATGGCCGAATCTCACGAAACCGTTCTATTTCTAATTAATTCATTGCTGAGATTTGTTTGTATGGTCAGGTGGGACATCGTATTCTGGGATATTGAGTAATTAGTAATAATTCAGTAATAATGGCAATTGCAATAGTGGTTGGTATCAATCTCAAGCAATAATGATACAGCAACCCATTATATAAAGTCACCATACCAGGATTAGACACATTAGAGTTGTCAGCAAGATTAGTCAGCATTCTGTTCACCCCCTTGGTAGCTTCAAAGTACAGTCTCAAACTCGAGGGCTGAAGTCCAATCAGGCCAGAGGCACAGTGGCAGAAGAATATTGACAAAAGGCCAGGGACTACATCATGTGGTCACTAGCATAATGACCAAGGGCCACTGACCTAGGTTGCCATGCTGGAGGCAGGAGACAATAAGCCTGACAGGTCCATGGAACACAATCCATGGACCTGGTAGGCCCAAAGAGGGCCAACTTGTGGCCGTGCTGGGCTGTGGACAGCAGAGGCCATTGAATCAATTTCTGTGGTCCTGTAGTGACCAAGGACCCTCTGTCAAAAGGCCCCAGGATTTCCCGGCATTTTGCTACGTGTGATGCTTGGTCTTTCTCTCTCATTCTTGCTCACTGTTGGCTATTGACAACTCTGTTGTAGAAAAGATAACTCTCTTTTAGCTGCTGATTCTCTTTGTAAATCACTAGCAGTCATTACAGGCACTTTCTGATATCCATCTGCCCGAGTGCAATTCTGAATCAAAGAACAACATGGGCAGCATCACACCAATTTATACACTCTAACACTGAATAACACCCTGACAGCTGCAAAGAGAAAGACAAAACAATATACTAAAGACTAAGTTAGAATGAGATAACTGCTTGTTCATTCAGATTTAGTGAAGAGTTGAGAGATATCTATCATAATTAAAAAATTGATATATAACAAAAATTATAGTTACAGAAAGATAACTTTATCTGATTGCTTTACATGATAATAAGAACTTATATGTTAACAGACACAGTTGATGGCTGAAAATTAACAAGCTTAAACATATTTAAAGAAGAGTCTGCAAGCTAAAAAGATCTACAAGCTAAAAAAATCTGCAAGTCAAATCTCTAAAAGTTAATTCTAAGAATTTCTTGTAGCAGGGGTACTCTCATGATGGCTAGAAATATTAGAGTGAACGCATGCTTTCTAAATGAGCAATTTAATGATGCTTGCATTTGCTAATATAGAAATGAAATGGCTTTATTTTTCAGATAGGGCTAATTAACTTTCAAAATGATCAAGCTCTGAACACCTCTGCTACCCGGACATAGTTCAAGAACTACAAGTAGCCCAGTTTCAAAACACGATGAATCGCCTAGGCTAGATTTACTTTCCAAAAAGAGCTTAGTGATGATTTTAAATTAACTCTAATTTACAACAAAATCTTTCTTTTATTCTTGCTTTTTCTCAAGTTTCTCTTGCTTTCCCTTCTTCCCTACTCTAAACTTCTGATATTTCATGTAACTCTCACATATTGTTTGAAATGAGGGAGGATAATGCTTCTTCTGTTTCTGTAAGAGCAACATCTTTTCAGAGCTGTATGCATGATACTCACTATATCTCTGTCTGATGGTGGAAAGTGGCTGTTCAAAATATCAGACTTGTTAAAATTAATCATAAAGTACTGATTGTCTTCATGAATAAGGAGGTAGACATTCTTGCAGTGACAGTCATCAGAGTAGCTATGCAGCATATACTAGAGTATGTCTTTCTGTTGATAACACATCTGCACAAGGCTGTTGTACTCAGTCTATGACTTCTTGACATGTATTGAGTCTGATATTTGCATGATGTAGCATTTAATTCCAGTAAAGGTGAAGAATCTAAGACTTGATTATTACCACTTTATATTATAGGGAGAGATCTCAACATAAAGTTATGAGTGAGTGTTGTGCTTCATTAAGCTAAAAGTAACTTTTTAAAGATGTACTTATGTTGGATGTGACTAGTCAGTTTGCTGCGGTGCTTGTATGCTTGGACTGTAATCTGCAATCTGAAACTGTGGCCCACCCCATTTTGATTTGCAACTTAGCCACGCGATTCAAATACATGGTCATAATTTGCAATCAGAAACTGTGGCCCTCATCATTTGATCTCAATTTTCCACTCAGTCATATGATCTGATCACTTATGCTAAAAGAGAGTATGAAAGTTAAGGAAGAAAAAAATCAAAAACTGAAAAAGAAAAATAAAAAAGAATAAAATAAAAAATAAATATAAATTAATAACTGGATTGATTGAGATTGATAGCTCTAAATTAAAGTTGAGTATACTGAGATCTATTGCAACAGAAAAGCCAGAAAGTGAAGAAATAGATCAAAAAAAGCTGAAAGTGTCCTTACTTAAAATCACACTGTGTAGAAGATGGAATTTATTAATCTGAATGAAAGAATAAAAGCACACTAGAAAATTGAATTGCAAAAATGCATAAATTGAAAGATGTACTTCTCTGCATCAAGAACTAGCTAAGCCTTACAGTCTGTTGAATGAGTGTTATATCAATTGTTAATCAGATACATAATGCTAGTCTGTAATAGAAATTGAGAGCTCAAATGATAACCTACTAAGCTTTTGCTACTAAGAGATCTGCTGAAAATTATGCTAAGTGCAATTCTGTTTATTCTCACAAAATTTAAAGTATACAAACCATCCAAGGAAAGGCCTACAATATAGCCCTAGTATATGAGGGATGTTAGCCCTTTCATGTATGTCATATGATGGGAAATGAAGCTAGAGGTTTCATTTTTCTGCCTGACAATAGTTATACAGCAATTGAGATTGATAAAATCACATAATAAAAAGCAGAATAGAAGGAATAGATACAGTCAATAACAAAATCATCAACAGCTTCAAACATATCTTCAAGAATATATCACATTAAATAATATTGTCAACTTGTACGCTAGTATATATATATTAGAGCCTCAAGGGAACGCGGCTGGGTTCACATCAATGAGCAGGTCTATAGCGTTCCGCCTCTATTTTTCCGCCCCTTACTATATTAGTATTCGATCTCTATTCACTTCTCTTCTCTCTAATCCACTCAAAGGCCCTAATCTTTTCTATATTTCCTATTTTATATGATCACTTCTACCATATAGAGTGATTATAGTGTGTATATATAGCAGGGCATCTGCCCATTTTATTAGAAGAGAATTAGACATGATTTATTCTACCTATTCAATTGCTTATATGTATCAAATTGATAGCATGTCCATACCTCTCTAAAAGGTTCAAGATCTGCTGAATCAATCAAGATTCAAGATATGCATCAAATTAGTCCAAGATCTGCTAAATCAGTCACTTTAAATCATAATCACTAGTTGCTCTGATTCATAATTGCTAGTTTAATCACTCTAAAAAATATTAGCTGTGGTATCATCCTCTAAGTCAGATCTCAATCACCTTCAAATAACTGTCTTAATCATCTTATAAAATGTCAAAGATAAATGTCCTCATCATTCAAACACTGTTGTCATTCTGATAGCTTCTGAATTCTCAATAAGATCAGAGAATGCTAGGTTAGTCAGCAAGAAGTAAGATGCTGATGAGAACATTCATCACAGTAGTTCTCATCAATGCATACAGACATTTATAGAAAAGTACACAATAGCAATTGCAGAAGTATGGAAAAACAAGAGTAGTTGATACACAGAATTATAATTATTGATCACTCTTTACAACTGTCTCAAGGTAAAGAGAGTGCTATTCACTGTCTCTATAAGATGATATGATGAGATGAGTGCAACAATGCAGGAAATCTCAGTAGCAGAATAAATGACTGTTTTTCATTAGTGAATTCAGATGTTCAGAACAGAAGTCATCAAGCACATCAGAAATCAGAGATCTATCACTTCTATCTTTGCAGATTTCAGTCACTCAGTTGCAAAAGATGATTATTGCAATAAGAAAGTGATACTGAACATTATAGAGAAGCTTGAAGAGCTTAATATACAATTGAAAGAGTGAGAAAACAGACTGGCAGATCTCAATATGCAGTTAAAAAAGCAGAAGAACTAAGTGATAAATTTGAAATCTCAACTCTGTATCTATACATCTCTTTTCAGTGAGTGAGAGAAGGAGCTAATCACTCATAAGATATGCTCAGAGCATGTCAGTGTTATCCACTCATTCATTGCAAGGCTGAGTCTGAGAGAAGTCAGTCAAGAAGAGTTAAAAGCAACAAGCTGTCTGTGAGAATTGATTTTATATACCAGAGTCAATCTAGAGTATGATAGAACTGCCAGCATAAAGCATTATATATATAATATAAAGGATAATAGAATAAGATAGAATAATCAATCTATTGCTGAGAGATATGATCAATTCATACCTTTTATGACAGATATCTGAGACAGAATTTCTACCTCTTTATATGATAAGAAGCAGCTAGTGAGGCTCTAAGCAGCATATCTGATGCTTTACAACTCAGATAAGATAGACATGATTGCTTTTACATTACAATTAGAGTTTATGATAACTTTGAAAAAGAAGACAGTAGTTCTCAGAGTGATTCTTCTATGTCTCTAGAGAAAAGCTCTGAAGTGACACAATGAGCTATTGTCTGAATGTTAGAATGAGATGGCAGTTTCACTTGCAGTAACAGTTGATGAGCTACAAAGTGAGTTTTAGCTTTTGAAAGAGAAGGTCTGAGACTGAGCTTAGAAATTATGATTCTCATTTAATAAGATAAGTGAGCTACTGCTCACTGTCTACATCATTCACAAGATCACTCTTCTATAAGCAGTAGCAATTTCTGATCAGATCATGATTAAGCATCTATTGTAAAAAAGATTGAAGAGTGATCTAGCTATGATTATTTCTCTTATCTTAACAGAACATTTAGATGATTTTCATAGATATATATGTGATAATAAGCTGGCTGCTAGATGCATCTGAGGAGATTGACAACAGCAACTTCTTAAATATGAGAGAGTAAGATATC